CATTAAAAACTACAAGGTACAGATTCAGAAATACTGTCTTCCTCTGGGGCATTACTTCTGCAACCCGAGCCGGTTCAAAAAAAAAAGGAAGACACAAAGCTTTACTTTTAATGAGCAAACTCTAATGGTACAAATGTCACACGGCAACATTATTCAATCTGATGGCAAAATGAAAGCAGACTGTTGGGAGCAGCGCACTTGCAGCACATTAATTCTCTACCATCATGTCTGGTTTTTTCATTTTAATAAGCCAAATCATACTTATCCTTATTTTCAACACTGAGGCAATCTTAAGAGGAGGAGAAAAGGAGACAGAGAAAAGGAACAGAGGAAGATTCGGGTATTATTAGGCCAAGCAAATACCTATAATTATAGAAAATACCAATAATTATTGTCGGGGGGAGAAACATCTGCTCTCTGCTGACAGACTCTGGAGACGCACATTTGTCTCGGTCACGTGTTTAATTCACCCTCGTTAACTGAACCACTGCACATAAGCTTCTCATTTTACAGACATCAATGTCAAAAAATTACATTGTTGCCTCCCTCTTTTTTTTTTTTTTATTTGTGCATTTTGTGGTTTCTTCTCACCCCTCAGCCCCTCTTCAGTTCTCTCCCACAGAGTCGCTACTGGAAAGTTTCCAAGGCGCTGTCACCCGTCCACCAGACAGGAGGATCAGGAGGCACACGGATGTTCTCTTTCCAAACTGCGGTCACGACGAGCACTTCTTAAAAAAAAAAAAAAGCAGGCGTGCTCAAGCTTCGTCCCGCATGATGCTGCCACTGTTGAGCAGCATCGTGATCGGCTGGATTATAGTGTCCACAAAGGAAGCAATTACCACGTAGCTTTCTCTCTTTTCTCTTATCTGCAGTCGACTCCTACTCTGTAAGGTGACTTCTTTTCAAGCCTCACGAGTTCTGTTGACAGTCTCGAGTGGACAGGACCACAATTTGGCATCTGGCCTGTTGTGTCATCCTTGGTTGAGGCAAAGTGTAACTCCAGATTTCTCAATGGAAAGTAAAAAAAAAAGTATTTCTATCCGGCATTAAAGCAGCTAGAATCAATATTTTTTTATCTCAACATTGGATCACATGACTGCTCGTATGTGTTCCTTCATGCACTGTGGACTCTTTTTTTGAGCTCATCGTTTTGGTTTTACAACCTGCAGCTTTACTGTTTTAGTTCATTCTGTCTGCTCTCATAGTGTTGTTTAAGGCCGGCTCTTATAAGCAAAAAGATCTGTAAAAACCAATTGGCTCACCATTAAACTGCAGACAAACTCAGCGAAAAGTCAATATATTACTCTTTCTTTAACTAAACAGGCAGAAACAACACTGCAAATGTAGCTCTGAGTGTCCTAAATGTGACACTAAGCAACTGTAGGTTTGCATATTAGCTTTGCAGGTGGTTTCTGATACCCCCAAGTGGCCAAAAGTCAGTTAATGCAGGTTTCAAGCATTTAAATAGCAATTATCCATCCATTATCTATACAACGCTTAATCCTCACTAGGGTCATGGGTGGCTGGAGTCTATCCCAGCTGACTCAAGGTGAAGGCAGGGGACACCCTGGACAGGTCACCAGTCTATCACAGGGCTACACTTAGAGACAGACAACCAAGCACACTCACATTCACACCTACGGACAATTTAGAATCATCAATTAACCTCAACATGTATTTGGACTGTGTTGGAGGAAGCCGGAGAAAAAAAATTCTACTTATGTGCTTCATGAGACTTGTACAGTTCTAGTTTTACATATTAAATTTGAGTGTATTCGCTTAAGCAACATAGACATTAGGATAGAGTTGATGCCATCATTTTGTTTGTATAATTCCCTCTAATTTTTCACGAACAGAAAAATCCTCATTTAGTTTTTATTTGACTATTGAGTTAGTGAATTAATATTTATTGCTTCTGGTTGACTAATGGAGGAAATACAAAACAATCGACTGCAACATCACATTCAATGATCAATTTAAAATAGATATGAGTTGTTTTTTTGTTTTTTTTTAAATCACTGCACAAATACAGTTAGAGCTTTTAAAGCTTATTTATGGACTCGGTCTGACAGACACACAAAAAACAGGATAAAGTGCTTTTTTCCACCATTAAACTGAAGTGACAGCTCATGATTCAAATGTTAGTGGACACATCAGATATGTTTTCTAACAAACAGTAGACTCTAAGATATGAGGATGGCAGAAGTTGACAAGTAGTTTGATTCTCATTTTTCCACTTCTGCTGTTTTTCATTGAAAAACTGCATGCAGTGGCAAATATGGGGACACTACAATGATTAAACACAATCTGAGTCTTTCTTGCATACAAAAAAAGAAAAACCTCATTATGTATGTTCTGGAGAAAAGCAAGAACAAATCATGCTCATCCAGTCATTTCATTTGTGTTACACATATCAGAAATGATGAGCCGTCCCTCTCATTCGGCCCGATAATGACCTAGTTATCGCAGCCTCACCCACACTGAAGCCAGGGAAGGACCTGCGAGGGTGGCTGGGAGACAGACCGTGGTTGTTGGAACTCATCATGGTGCAGAGCGATCATCCTTGGCCTCCGAGCGTCGGGTTGTCCTGCTGCCTGTCCTCATCTCTCCGTTGAACCGGTTAGCTCCGGCGCTCATATGTCACATACTGGTACACATTTATATGGAAAGCACATCAGACTGGATTTCTGGAGTTGGTTATTATATCTTGTGAGGATGTCAGCTTCCTTTATGTGTGTGGACAATGGCTGAGTGCCATTCAATGTGAAGCTTTTGGGGGGTTTTTTTGGTTGGCAGCAGTAAGTGGCATCATTATGTACCCCTAAAGTGTAAAAGGATGTAGTAAAAAATCCAGCAGGTCCAATAGGTGTTTGTACAGTACACTGCCATGAAAAGTTTTCATGTTTAGCATTGAACAAAATACAATTTCAACACTGATACCATAGGAAAAACATATGCAAACTGTTCCCCTGTCATCATAAAACACAAATAGCTGATTTGCAAATATGGATCTCCTGCAAGTTAGAGTTTGATGAGCAGCCTTACGTAACTATGTTTGCATAGAGATACTGGTTGAGCAGCTACAACCTCACCTGACCTGGTGTTTTTAAGCCATTCCTGTGCAGCTTTAGTTTAACGCCCGAGCTTGCAAGGAAACAAATCTTCTCCTATCTAAAAAGGTTCACATTTAATTAGTTTCTGTCTTAGATTAAAAATGTGATGTGTGTGCTCGTCTGCTGGTTGAAAAACTGCATTAGATGTGATGAAAATCCTTTCAAAAGCTCTTGACATGAACTGAATAATGTAGTCAGTGGGATAAAAATTCTCTGTTCCAGAAAAACTAACAGTTTAGAGAGTATTTCAGTTTATTATTGTGCACATACAGAGAAATAAATGGAGGTCGCAGTCAGTGTTCTGAGATGGAAAAGGAGTGTTGCTTAACAATACATTCCTATCCAGACGTATAGTAGGGGAGCCATCATTCCTCATGGATGTGAACAGTGTTATCTACCTTTGTGTGTGGTTTTCCATTTTACTGTAACGCACTGCAAACTGAGCAGCAGTTTAACAGCACTTCCTACTGGTGGAAAGGCCTCATTACACTCAGGTCTATGTAATAATAGAAACCAGAGTGTCGTCTGGACAGGATTTTATGTACAAGTATGTCTCCTGTACACTTTTTAAATCAGATGTCACTGCCAAATTCAAATACTACATTCATCTTCCTAATAAAGACCAAGGAACTCTAACCGGAAGCAGTCCTAAACTGTACTTTGAGCTTCTTCTCAATTTTTAATCTAGAAAATGTTCATGTGAAGTTGTTTTTTTTCTCTTCTTTTCTTTAACCAGGTGGGTTAATTGAGAACAAATTCTCATTTACAATAACGACCTGGCCAAGAGGCAGCACAGAGCAGAAAATACAATAAAAGGAATACATCCATAAAAAAGCAAAATATAACAATAAAAGACTTGAAGATAAAATACACTAAAAGCAGGTACATGACTCAGCAAGTAGAGCCTTCACCACATTTTTAAAAGATGATATAAAAGAGGTGAGTTTGAGTGTTTTCTGCAGAAAACTGAAACGACTAGCGGCCAGAAATAGTGCAGGCTTTGGGGATGAGGAGGTGGAGGTTGCTGTTGCAAAGCGAGCGGCTGATGTGACGGGTGATGAGTAGTGAGTGCTGGAGTTTGACCTGTAATAGTTTTCTAAAAGTTATGCTATGAAGCTGCATTTTAAATTTTCTTTTTTGCAGCTCGAGTGTTTATTCGCAACAACCTTCCTTCCTAACTGCAGTGAAAGACAAAAGCAAGCAGACATTTTCAAGGTACATTGATCATTTATTTTTATATAAATACATATAAAATACAATATAAACATTCCATGTCACATATTTTACAGTTTTATCCATTTGGTATAAGAAGGGATTCAAAAAGAAACAAACAAAACAAAAAAAACAAGTTCACTCACAGTTACATGCATTAGATATCTGTAAACCTTTAGCGTTAACATGGGCTTTCACCTGAATAAAAACGGTGGAACTCTTTCCACACAAAGCTAGACCCTGTGTCCTCAGTCACCAGAGGAGCAGAGTGTTACATTCACTTCTCATTTTAAGATCATCATAACCAGATATAAAACTACTCCACAGAGCTAAGTCCAAAGGCACCCACTCCAGCCATGTCAACACCTTGCTAGCCACAGAGTTTTGACATACAACGCAAAACGCTCAAAAGCAGGCAAGGAAGGCTGCCTGAATAGCTAAACTGTAAAAGAATCGGTGTGATCAGGTGTACTGTAATGGCGTTATTTTGCAATATGCATCCTTAAAGTAGTAAGACTATAGCTGTAGCTCTGCTCTGGATCCTACAAGAACCACAGTGGCCCATCAGGCTTCTCTGGTCTATCTGTCACAACATTGCTTCATAGGAGAAATAAGTCAGGAGAGTAAATTCCTGCCACTGTTAGAAGACGGCGCTTTTCACTGAATGTCTGTACCATCAGCAGCAGCTGTGACTCGAGCCACAGAGATGTGGGCATGCGTGTGTTTTCTTTTTAAAAACTTAACAAAAACCCCGGCTCTGCATGCGTGTAACCATTTAAACAAGGACCTGAACAACAGGACATGTGTAGCCTAAACACTGTTTTAAAAAAAAAAGTCAACATTTTAAGCCGAGTGAAATTAACAACCTTTAACTTTTCAGTGCACAACTTTAAAAAAAAACTGCACTGGATTTCCTAAAAAAGTCTTCCGAGAAGTAAGATCAAGTCACAAAGAGAAATAAAATGATCTTAGCATTAGAAGCTTTTTGAGGAGGCCCAGTGCGACTGTACAGCTGAGGGCCCTGCAGGCGTACCGTAGGTCAACCCTCCTAATCCGTGTAAATGGTGGAGACTTAAAATTGTTTTTTTTTTTAACCATAGTGCAGCAGAAAAGGGATGGATATTTTGGAATCTCCATAGCAGAACTTGGGCTTTACCTTCAGTATAAACAAAAAAAAAAGTTAAATAAAACCCTTCAGCTTGGTTCAATAAACTTCTTAAATATTACTTTGGTCATAATTTAAAGATTGTCTGTTTGCAGTCACACATAGAAAAGCAATCAAAAAATACAGCCCAGCCAAATTGGGGTTGAATCTCAAGACTACCACAGTGGTTTGCTTACGTAAAATGAGGTCAACCCTGAAACCCCTGATCAACCAGAGTCCTGCGTCACTCATCCTTGTCGTGGCCGGCGTTTCCATTCATAACTCCGTTGGTGTGGTGCGCCCAAGTCTGAGCCTGCAGCACTTTAGGCAGCCTCTTGCCCTTTGTGTAGGCGTGGTACCAGAAGTTGAGGAAGAGAAACAGGAAAATCAGGCCGTACAGCCCGATGATGTAGATAAAGATGGGGAACTGGTAGGGGCAGTCTTTCATGAAGAAATACTGGGAGATGTGGCTGGTCACCATAACAAACTGGATCTGGGGAGACGCAAAGAAAAGAAACGCTTGACTTCTGACCACATTCAACACAAGTCTTTACAAAAGTGCACTTTGAAAAGATGCAGTGTTGCATCAGAGAACTCGACATACCAGCTGGATGGTAGTGAGGTATTTCTTCCACCACAGGTACTTCTGGTACTTGGGGCCCATAGCAGTCAGCCCATAGTACGAGTACATGATAACATGAACAACACAGTTGAGCAGAGCGTGGAATGTCCCCAGTCCACCTGCAAACAGGGAGTGTAACAGGAGTAGCGTTAGTAAAATATAACAAGAAACTCAAGCAACGTGATGTAAAAATACTGCTTGTACCATAAACCAGAAAAGGGGGTCGTACCTGCAGCGAAACGGACCCCGAACCACCAGGTGAAGGGCATGATGGAGTGATGGTAGACATGGAGAAATGTCACCTGGCTGTTCTTCTTCCTCAGCACAAAGAAAATCTGAAAAGGGACATGTGTTTAGAAAAAAATAACAAAAAAATGGCAGTGGAGGCATTGCGAGGTCCAAGTAAGTGACAGGAACTGTGTAATCAAATGCGACCTGTGCCACTTACCGTGTCCAGCATCTCGATGAACTTTGAGAAGTAGTAAAGCCAGCATGTTGCTGCCATCTACAGGAGAGAGGGGAGAAAAGGTTCAAATAGGTTCCAATAAACAAAACACATTTAAATCTTATGCATTGCAAAATTCAGTCAATGAGATGCTACAGATGGGACCTACCCTCATAGCTTGTGGTGAATTAGAGTAGTCGACCAGATCACAGCGAAAAGAGTATCCCGTTCCCCATCCTGACATCACAAACTACGGAAGAAAGAAAACTGCGGTTAGTTATGAGAAAACGTGGCTATGAAACAGAGAGGGGGAAACAATCCAAGTCAAATTCTTATCTGGAAAACAATTTTGTCAGTTTATCTCACAGTCTTGCATAATGAGTCCCTGTACAAATTAATCACTCTACTGTGGGTGGAGAAAAAAACAAAAAAAAACTGGCACAACAGACTCAGTATTGTGTGTTAATTAATGATCAAAAAAAATAAAAGCTGTTGCTCAAAAACCACTGAATGGAACTCTAGTCTTTAAGTACGTCTCAACAGGCAAGATGTGAGACAAAGTCACACTTCTGTAAAATACAATGCAGAGCAAAGAGGAAATTACACCTGCTGGTCTGGTTCAACTGCCGATCAATGGTCCACAAAGAGAGAGAGAGAAAAAAAAGAAAAGCATTTCACAAGACTGCCTAAGGAATGTGCCATGGTTCAGTGAAACAACACAAGCAGTGGTGGTGTTTGCTCACCTTGTAGGCCTATGATATGCAACGCAATGTGAATTCCTACAATAAAAAAAAAGAGACTCCCCCGTCAGCTCTGCACTACTCGAAGTGAAACAAAAAGGACGACTCACCTCATAGCACATGTAAAGCGAGAGAGCGACCACGCCGAAGTTGTAGACGATGAGGACGCCTTTGAGGTCGAAGGCTTTGCGGTTCTCCATTATCCGCGGCCCCAGCGACGTGACAAAGTAAATGTACGCTGCGATGATGATGGTCTGGGGCAGAGGAGACGACATGAGCAGCCAGTCGGCCGTCCGCAAGTCTGCAAAACAGGAGAGTGGCGTTTGTGTCGGATACAGAGAAAAAGTGTGGATTCGTGTACAGAAAGAAGTGGCACAGCGTAGCGTTATCAGTTGAATGTGTGTGAACCATCAAACACTCACCTGCTTTTTGGATGAACTCATCGTAAATGAGTGCAGCTGAGGACTTAATGTTATCAAATTCCATCTTTTTCTTGCAGTTCACCTACGAGGAGCAAAAGGGGAAAAGGTTAGGATGTCAGTTTGGACTACATGGTATTTAGATTAGAACACAGAGTCAGAGTGTCCGAGAAAGGGAAGTCTCCGTGTTTAGGATTTATGAATATGTCAGTGACCAAAGAAAACTATTTCAGCTGATTTTGATTGGGGGGAAAGAAGACAAACTAAAGGCACTATTAACGGTTACTTCTTAACAAAAACCTAAGTGTGACACGAGCTTTACACTGAAACAAGCAGCAGCACTTCCTTAACATGCAACTTTCATTTTTCTTTTTTATCTGGGTGTAATTGTAACATCTGAACCATCTCGTGAATACAGGCCTTACATCATGCTTAGCACACTAGAATGGCTCAAAGACTGGACTGTATGAGGGAGAGGAGGAGGAGGGGGAGGAAAGAAAAATGGACACTCAACCATTCTTGGCTGCCTTTCTGAGCATCCGAGGCAGACAAAGCCAAGAGTGTGAAGCGAGTACAATGAGTAGCAGTCGGTGTCTCCCGCTTATCAGAGAACGAACAACAGTGTCACCCAGGATAATTAGGGGGGGGAAACAACTTTGTCCATGTTTTTAAAAAGAAGAACTTTGGGTGTCACAACAAAGCCATGCCACAGCGACTCTCACGATTGATAAAAGTACATATTTCTGAATGGAAAATGCTGTTTATTCAAGAGGAGTGTGCAGATATGTAGCCACAATCTGTTGGATTGTTACACCAAATTTACACTGGATGGTTTTCAAATGAGGACAAAATGGAAAGTTTCTCCTTTTCCTATTGTGAATAGTTTATCCACACCTGATCGTTCATGAATCAAATCAAATCAGCAAAAAAAAAGCAAATGTTGGGCTCAATCATGATGACGTTTTTGATGACTGGCCTGACTGGTTTATCAAACGTGCCTGCCAGAGGGGTGAGCTTCACTTAACACCTCACCTCGACAAACCACACCTCAAACACTTTTTTTTTTTCCCCTTTTAAAACCACTCTGTCACTCACTTGTGCGCACCCGGATGAATAAAACAGAAGCACATCACCCCTTGTCTGCCATAGGTGGGCCTTAACCTTACAGGACAGGTTTTCAAGGTGTGTCTACCTGAGTGCAACAGGAACTTCAACCTGGTTTGGGTTTTTAAAAAAAGGAAAAAAGAAGAAGAAGAAGGCAAGGCTGTCTGGAGTTTCCACACTAATGAAGACATGGCAAGCCTTGACACGCCAATTAACGTTATAGTCAGGGATGTAAAGGCTGCTGCTCCCATGGCGCGCCTCCTCATTTAGGATATTCACAGTCTGCAATGTCAGCTTCCACAGATTGCAGAGACAAAATGTACTTTAGCACTGGCTGGAACACTGAATACAACTTTTAGAGAGCTATTAATGCAATTTCTCATCTACAGAAACTGAGACAGAAGCCAGACAGTATTTACATCTTAAGAATAAAGTTTAGGGTGATTTAAAAAACTAAATTCTTCTTACACAGGAAACATTCAGGTGTGTTGCTCACATTAAAAGCCTACAAAGGAGCAGTAAATAGGATTCCCACCTCACTGTAGTGCTCATGAGGAACAGGTGACACAGGTGATGGAAAAACACGACCAACAGCTTTCATCCATCTCACAATGACATGAAATGCTTCACTAATCACGCTTTTGTGTCGACGCACCGGTTTTTTTGTTTCCTTTCCCACAGCCTGTCTTTTCCTTCCGTGGTTTTCCAATTAATTCTTGACTGATTTTTTTATTTATTTTTTAATTAAACTGAAGTTACTAACCTTTTCGTGCAGCTGGGCCTCAGTGAAAATCCCTTTGGTCCGTCGAACTATCCGTATCCAAACTCCTGATTCACCTGCCGCCTCCCAACAGGTGTGTCTCCGCCGCTACTCACACGCTGACTGGGCACGCGGAACCCGGTCCTTATGCCAGCGGCCAGGGGCGGGGTTTCAGGAAAGACACGCCCCCTTCGCTCGCTGATTGGCTGATTTGTGGTTCATACAGTTCATTCTTGAGCGATGCCTCACAGAAAACTATGTGCGATTTTGTAATAATGCAGTTTATCCTCTTCAGACGTAAATAGTTAATTAGTTTCAGTATAGGAAAAAAAAATTGGAAAAACGAGATGAGTTGGTTTAAAAATTACTGCGGTTATTTTCCGTTGCTTTCCTAAAATCTGAGTGAATGAAATGAATTCCCAATGCTTTATTTATTTTGGGGAGGGGGAAAGAAAGAAGAATTTTATATATTTAACGTAAATTGAAAAGGAGACCTCTCTGGCAAATTAAAACTGAGGGATCCTGAATATAAATATAACTGAATTTATGTTTGTGTGGATTCATCCAGCATCCAAATCAAGTGGCTTTCTTTAAGTTTAGCTGAGGTGAACACATATTCAAGAACCTAAAGTCTAAATGTTTTTTATGGAAGCTCTCAGGGTGACTAAATGTCCTCGTAATGATTTCCATTTCAAATTCCTAATCTACAGCTTTGATCACAGTCAGGTCTCAGATGTTTACACAGTAAGAATGCCGGTTTGTAAAACTGTAAGGAGGTGTGTCACAGAGGGAGAGGTTTCAGTATCAGGCCTCACTGCTGGTTTCAGCACGGGCTGAAATGCAAATCTTTTTTAGAGGAATGACAATAAGACAGTCGATGTGTTTTGAATATCTGGTAACTCCCGTGTGAGGACGATGGGCTCAACTCAGCAGCAGAAACACACTGAAAAACTGACGCCACACATTTTTAAAAAGCTTAGAAATGCTGCTGTTTACCAAAACTTTTCATGATTATTACAAAATGTACAATATAGTGTCATTATAATACCTGCAATACAGATGAATTCATTTTGTGTTTTTGCACAAATAATGGAAGATACCCCCAAATGATGAATTGCTTGGAAACAGGTTAAGAAGAATCAACAATGTGAAACTCACTGTTGGATTTACTTTCAATTTAAAAAAAAAAAAAAGCAAAGTGACAATAGCAAGCATCGTGATATCAAATGTACAAAAAACACATGAAAAAAAACACAAAGTCAGACAATTATGTACACATTTCACTTAAGATTTAAGGCTTTTGTCAGCGTCAGCAGCTTCTCTAAACCCACAATTATTTCCACTGGTTTCCCTTGACAGTATTTGTGATGGATGCGAGTTTATTTGCATGCTCAGTCACCTCACTCTGTCCACATATTCAAAACATCTACATCAGTCTTCATCACTGCTCCACGCGTCCTGAAAGGCAGGGTTCACCGAGGACTGGCCGGCGGCACCCTGTGAGGAATCAAGAGATGTTAAGTCGGAAGAAGATCCATGACAAAATACAGAACATACGCACACCATTTACAACCTTATATGGGCTTCCTGTACAGTAGGAAAAAAAAACAAGAGTGCATCCTTGTCAAATGTGTACATGACGGATACCTGAGTTCATCTGATGAATGTACCGACTAGTCTAACTGGAAAAATATTCGTCAATTAATAGGTATTGCTTGAATGTGGAGATAGCCTCACATAGTGGAGTGGAGTGGAGTGAATTCAGTAGCAGTGTGTACCAGGGGAGCACTTATTTCTTAGATGTCACACACTCATCTATGATCTTATTTTTTTTAAAATAACAAAAAGATAAAAGACAGTGGTTGATGATAGGTTCACAATTTTTTTTTAAGTTTGTATTTTGTTTGAGTGCAACAAGGACTTTGGATTTTGTTTCCCATCATTTATACTGGAAGTGCATTAGGAGGGAATTGTTCAAGGACTGATACAAAAGAAGGAACAATTATAGAAAGGTAAAACATGTTTCAGTGCTCTTATAGACACCTGACAGCTGGCAGATTTGTGATATTATCCTTTACGTGCTGAGATTGTCATTGAACTAAATTCATAATGTGGGCCTTGGAAGCACAGACATTAAAAACCTCGACATCCTATGAAGTCTGTTATATGTACTAAGGTTATTTAATTACAGAAATTAAATCCCTTATCCAGTATTGCTTCCTGTTTTTATGGCCAATACCTTATTTTCTCGACTCGTCTCTTCTTCCACATCTGAGGCGCGGAGGACAGGAACCCACGCCAGGATGTTACAGTCTTTGCCTCCACTGTACAGCTCCTACACACAAACAACAAGGACACCTTCATTTGATGACTGGTGTTAACTATCATAATGAAACCAAGAGTAATGTAATCAATAAGCTAAAAACTTTCCACGCAAAGCAAGTGAACTCATGGGAGACATTGTCAGCGTCATGGGCCTGACTACGGTCATGACATCAGACAAAAAGCATCACCAAAAAAAAAAAAGTAAAACACATTTTCAGAACTTGCTTTTCTTTCCTGGAACTCTCCAGAGCGACAAGCAGCCAAACGACATTCTTATGCGTCTTACACATAAGAATCTACGGCTGACACTGAATGCTGGAATTGCCTAATAGGAAGGGCGTGAATTGGACATCCCTCTGTATTTGTGGTGATAATGCTTAACTTAAGTTGCGCAACAATTAAGGTGTTTCTCGGCACAAAGGGTTATAACTGACACTTAAATAAACAACAAAAAAGTGCAGACAGATTAATACCATATGAGGTTGTTATTAAAGAACGTTTAGAAAAAGAATATACACACACAGAAATATATTTATACACAAACTCGCGACTGATTTCAGGAAATAGCTTGAATGAAAACCAATGTGGTTTCAGTCCAGTATTACTGCTATTTCAGTATTTGGCCTATTGTGGATTTGGTATGTCTGTGGGGAAATTAGCAACTAATATGGTTCGTCTTAAAAATTTGTTTAATATTTTTTTCCTCCACAATTAGTAATAATGCTAAAAGACAACCTGGGAAAAAAATAAAACCAAAGCAGAAGTGTNAATAGCTGATTTGCAAATATGGATCTCCTGCAAGTTAGAGTTTGATGAGCAGCCTTACGTAACTATGTTTGCATAGAGATACTGGTTGAGCAGCTACAACCTCACCTGGCTTGGTGTTTTTAAGCCATTCCTGTGCAGCTTTAGTTTAACGCCCGAGCTTGCAAGGAAACAAATCTTCTCCTATCTAAAAAGGTTCACATTTAATTAGTTTCTGTCTTAGATTAAAAATGTGATGTGTGTGCTCGTCTGCTGGTTGAAAAACTGCATTAGATGTGATGAAAATCCTTTCAAAAGCTCTTGACATGAACTGAATAATGTAGTCAGTGGGATAAAAATTCTCTGTTCTTGAAAAACTAACAGTTTAGAGAGTATTTCAGTTTATTATTGTGCACATACAGAGAAATAAATGGAGGTCGCAGTCAGTGTTCTGAGATGGAAAAGGAGTGTTGCTTAACAATACATTCCTATCCAGACGTATAGTAGGGGAGCCATCATTCCTCATGGATGTGAACAGTGTTATCTACCTTTGTGTGTGGTTTTCCATTTTACTGTAACACACTGCAAACTGAGCAGCAGTTTAACAGCACTTCCTACTGGTGGAAAGGCCTCATTACACTCAGGTCTATGTAATAATAGAAACCAGAGTGTCGTCTGGACAGGATTTTATGTACAAGTATGTCTCCTGTACACTTTTTAAATCAGATGTCACTGCCAAATTCAAATACTACATTCATCTTCCTAATTAAGACCAAGCAACTCTAACCTGAAGCGGTTCTAAACTGTACTTTGAGCTTCTTCTCAATTTTTAATCTAGAAAATTTGAGTGTGAAGGTTTTTTTTTTCCTTCCTTTATTTAACCAGGTGGGTTAATTGAGAACAAATTCTCATTTACAATAACGACCTGGCCAACAAGAGGCAGCACAGAACAGAAAATACAATAAAAGGAATACATCCATAAAAAAGCAAAACAATGAAAGACTTGAAGATAAAATACATTAAAAGCAGGTACAGGACTCAGCAAGTAGAGTCTTCACCACATTTTTAAAAGAGGTGAGTTTGAGTGTTTTCTGCAGAAAACTGAAACGAATAGTGGCCAGAAATAGTGCTGGCTTTGGGGATGAGGAGGTGGAGGAGGTTGCTGCTGTGAAGCGAGCGGCTGATGTGACGCATGATGAGTAGTGAGTGCTGGAGTTTGACTTGTAATAGTTTTATAAAAGCTATGCTATTGCTTCTTTTCATTTTTTGCAGCTCGAGTGTTTATTCGCAACAACCTTTCTTCCTAACTGCAGTGAAAGACAAACGCAAGAAGACATTTTCAAGGTACATTGATCATTTATTTTTATATAAATACATATAAAATACAATATAAACATTCCATGTCACATATTTTACAGTTTTATCCATTTGGTATAAGAAGGGATTCAAAAAGAAACAAACAAAACAAAAAAAACAAGTTCACTCACAGTTACATGCATTAGATATCTGTAAACCTTTAGCGTTAACATGGGCTTTCACCTGAATAAAAACGGTGGAACTCTTTCCACACAAAGCTAGACCCTGTGTCCTCAGTCACCAGAGGAGCAGAGTGTTACATTCACTTCTCAGTTTAAGATCATCATAACCGGATATAAAACTACTCCACAGAGCTAAGTCCAAAGGCACCCACTCCAGCCATGTCAACACCTTGCTAGCCACAGAGTTTTGACATACAACGCAAAACGCTCAAAAGCAGGCAAGGAAGGCTGCCTGAATAGCTAAACTGTAAAAGAATCGGTGTGATCAGGTGTACTGTAATGGCGTTATTTTGCAATATGCATCCTTAAAGTAGTAAGACTATAGCTGTAGCTCTGCTCTGGATCCTACAAGAACCACAGTGGCCCATCAGGCTTCTCTGGTCTATCTGTCACAACATTGCTTCATAGGAGAAATAAGTCAGGAGAGTAAATTCCTGCCACTGTTAGAAGACGGCGCTTTTCACTGAATGTCTGTACCATCAGCAGCAGCTGTGACTCGAGCCACAGAGATGTGGGCATGCGTGTGTTTTCTTTTTAAAAACTTAACAAAAACCCCGGCTCTGCATGCGTGTAACCATTTAAACAAGGACCTGAACAACAGGACATGTGTAGCCTAAACACTGTTTTAAAAAAAAAAGTCAACATTTTAAGCCGAGTGAAATTAACAACCTTTAACTTTTCAGTGCACAACTTTAAAAAAAAACTGCACTGGATTTCCTAAAAAAGTCTTCCGAGAAGTAAGATCAAGTCACAAAGAGAAATAAAATGATCTTAGCATTAGAAGCTTTTTGAGGAGGCCCAGTGCGACTGTACAGCTGAGGGCCCTGCAGGCGTACCGTAGGTCAACCCTCCTAATCCGTGTAAATGGTGGAGACTTAAAATTGTTTTTTTTTTTAACCATAGTGCAGCAGAAAAGGGATGGATATTTTGGAATCTCCATAGCAGAACTTGGGCTTTACCTTCAGTATAAACAAAAAAAAAAGTTAAATAAAACCCTTCAGCTTGGTTCAATAAACTTCTTAAATATTACTTTGGTCATAATTTAAAGATTGTCTGTTTGCAGTCACACATAGAAAAGCAATCAAAAAATACAGCCCAGCCAAATTGGGGTTGAATCTCAAGACTACCACAGTGGTTTGCTTACGTAAAATGAGGTCAACCCTGAAACCCCTGATCAACCAGAGTCCTGCGTCACTCATCCTTGTCGTGGCCGGCGTTTCCATTCATAACTCCGTTGGTGTGGTGCGCCCAAGTCTGAGCCTGCAGCACTTTAGGCAGCCTCTTGCCCTTTGTGTAGGCGTGGTACCAGAAGTTGAGGAAGAGAAACAGGAAAATCAGGCCGTACAGCCCGATGATGTAGATAAAGATGGGGAACTGGTAGGGGCAGTCTTTCATGAAGAAATACTGGGAGATGTGGCTGGTCACCATAACAAACTGGATCTGGGGAGACGCAAAGAAAAGAAACGCTTGACTTCTGACCACATTCAACACAAGTCTTTACAAAAGTGCACTTTGAAAAGATGCAGTGTTGCATCAGAGAACTCGACATACCAGCTGGATGGTAGTGAGGTATTTCTTCCACCACAGGTACTTCTGGTACTTGGGGCCCATAGCAGTCAGCCCATAGTACGAGTACATGATAACATGAACAACACAGTTGAGCAGAGCGTGGAATGTCCCCAGTCCACCTGCAAACAGGGAGTGTAACAGGAGTAGCGTTAGTAAAATATAACAAGAAACTCAAGCAACGTGATGTAAAAATACTGCTTGTACCATAAACCAGAAAAGGGGGTCGTACCTGCAGCGAAACGGACCCCGAACCACCAGGTGAAGGGCATGATGGAGTGATGGTAGACATGGAGAAATGTCACCTGGCTGTTCTTCTTCCTCAGCACAAAGAAAATCTGAAAAGGGACATGTGTTTAGAAAAAAATAACAAAAAAATGGCAGTGGAGGCATTGCGAGGTCCAAGTAAGTGACAGGAACTGTGTAATCAAATGCGACCTGTGCCACTTACCGTGTCCAGCATCTCGATGAACTTTGAGAAGTAGTAAAGCCAGCATGTTGCTGCCATCTACAGGAGAGAGGGGAGAAAAGGTTCAAATAGGTTCCAATAAACAAAACACATTTAAATCTTATGCATTGCAAAATTCAGTCAATGAGATGCTACAGATGGGACCTACCCTCATAGCTTGTGGTGAATTAGAGTAGTCGACCAGATCACAGCGAAAAGAGTATCCCGTTCCCCATCCTGACATCACAAACTACGGAAGAAAGAAAACTGCGGTTAGTTATGAGAAAACGTGGCTATGAAACAGAGAGGGGGAAACAATCCAAGTCAAATTCTTATCTGGAAAACAATTTTGTCAGTTTATCTCACAGTCTTGCATAATGAGTCCCTGTACAAATTAATCACTCTACTGTGGGTGGAGAAAAAAACAAAAAAAAACTGGCACAACAGACTCAGTATTGTGTGTTAATTAATGATCAAAAAAAATAAAAGCTGTTGCTCAAAAACCACTGAATGGAACTCTAGTCTTTAAGTACGTCTCAACAGGCAAGATGTGAGACAAAGTCACACTTCTGTAAAATACAATGCAGAGCAAAGAGGAAATTACACCTGCTGGTCTGGTTCAACTGCCGATCAATGGTCCACAAAGAGAGAGAGAGAAAAAAAAGAAAAGCATTTCACAAGACTGCCTAAGGAATGTGCCATGGTTCAGTGAAACAACACAAGCAGTGGTGGTGTTTGCTCACCTTGTAGGCCTATGATATGCAACGCAATGTGAATTCCTACAATAAAAAAAAAGAGACTCCCCCGTCAGCTCTGCACTACTCGAAGTGAAACAAAAAGGACGACTCACCTCATAGCACATGTAAAGCGAGAGAGCGACCACGCCGAAGTTGTAGACGATGAGGACGCCTTTGAGGTCGAAGGCTTTGCGGTTCTCCATTATCCGCGGCCCCAGCGACGTGACAAAGTAAATGTACGCTGCGATGATGATGGTCTGGGGCAGAGGAGACGACATGAGCAGCCAGTCGGCCGTCCGCAAGTCTGCAAAACAGGAGAGTGGCGTTTGTGTCGGATACAGAGAAAAAGTGTGGATTCGTGTACAGAAAGAAGTGGCACAGCGTAGCGTTATCAGTTGAATGTGTGTGAACCATCAAACACTCACCTGCTTTTTGGATGAACTCATCGTAAATGAGTGCAGCTGAGGACTTAATGTTATCAAATTCCATCTTTTTCTTGCAGTTCACCTACGAGGAGCAAAAGGGGAAAAGGTTAGGATGTCAGTTTGGACTACATGGTATTTAGATTAGAACACAGAGTCAGAGTGTCCGAGAAAGGGAAGTCTCCGTGTTTAGGATTTATGAATATGTCAGTGACCAAAGAAAACTATTTCAGCTGATTTTGATTGGGGGGAAAGAAGACAAACTAAAGGCACTATTAACGGTTACTTCTTAACAAAAACCTAAGTGTGACACGAGCTTTACACTGAAACAAGCAGCAGCACTTCCTTAACATGCAACTTTCATTTTTCTTTTTTATCTGGGTGTAATTGTAACATCTGAACCATCTCGTGAATACAGGCCTTACATCATGCTTAGCACACTAGAATGGCTCAAAGACTGGACTGTATGAGGGAGAGGAGGAGGAGGGGGAGGAAAGAAAAATGGACACTCAACCATTCTTGGCTGCCTTTCTGAGCATCCGAGGCAGACAAAGCCAAGAGTGTGAAGCGAGTACAATGAGTAGCAGTCGGTGTCTCCCGCTTATCAGAGAACGAACAACAGTGTCACCCAGGATAATTAGGGGGGGGAAACAACTTTGTCCATGTTTTTAAAAAGAAGAACTTTGGGTGTCACAACAAAGCCATGCCACAGCGACTCTCACGATTGATAAAAGTACATATTTCTGAATGGAAAATGCTGTTTATTCAAGAGGAGTGTGCAGATATGTAGCCACAATCTGTTGGATTGTTACACCAAATTTACACTGGATGGTTTTCAAATGAGGACAAAATGGAAAGTTTCTCCTTTTCCTATTGTGAATAGTTTATCCACACCTGATCGTTCATGAATCAAATCAAATCAGCAAAAAAAAAGCAAATGTTGGGCTCAATCATGATGACGTTTTTGATGACTGGCCTGACTGGTTTATCAAACGTGCCTGCCAGAGGGGTGAGCTTCACTTAACACCTCACCTCGACAAACCACACCTCAAACACTTTTTTTTTTTCCCCTTTTAAAACCACTCTGTCACTCACTTGTGCGCACCCGGATGAATAAAACAGAAGCACATCACCCCTTGTCTGCCATAGGTGGGCCTTAACCTTACAGGACAGGTTTTCAAGGTGTGTCTACCTGAGTGCAACAGGAACTTCAACCTGGTTTGGGTTTTTAAAAAAAGGAAAAAAGAAGAAGAAGAAGGCAAGGCTGTCTGGAGTTTCCACACTAATGAAGACATGGCAAGCCTTGACACGCCAATTAACGTTATAGTCAGGGATGTAAAGGCTGCTGCTCCCATGGCGCGCCTCCTCATTTAGGATATTCACAGTCTGCAATGTCAGCTTCCACAGATTGCAGAGACAAAATGTACTTTAGCACTGGCTGGAACACTGAATACAACTTTTAGAGAGCTATTAATGCAATTTCTCATCTACAGAAACTGAGACAGAAGCCAGACAGTATTTACATCTTAAGAATAAAGTTTAGGGTGATTTAAAAAACTAAATTCTTCTTACACAGGAAACATTCAGGTGTGTTGCTCACATTAAAAGCCTACAAAGGAGCAGTAAATAGGATTCCCACCTCACTGTAGTGCTCATGAGGAACAGGTGACACAGGTGATGGAAAAACACGACCAACAGCTTTCATCCATCTCACAATGACATGAAATGCTTCACTAATCACGCTTTTGTGTCGACGCACCGGTTTTTTTGTTTCCTTTCCCACAGCCTGTCTTTTCCTTCCGTGGTTTTCCAATTAATTCTTGACTGATTTTTTTATTTATTTTTTAATTAAACTGAAGTTACTAACCTTTTCGTGCAGCTGGGCCTCAGTGAAAATCCCTTTGGTCCGTCGAACTATCCGTATCCAAACTCCTGATTCACCTGCCGCCTCCCAACAGGTGTGTCTCCGCCGCTACTCACACGCTGACTGGGCACGCGGAACCCGGTCCTTATGCCAGCGGCCAGGGGCGGGGTTTCAGGAAAGACACGCCCCCTTCGCTCGCTGATTGGCTGATTTGTGGTTCATACAGTTCATTCTTGAGCGATGCCTCACAGAAAACTATGTGCGATTTTGTAATAATGCAGTTTATCCTCTTCAGACGTAAATAGTTAATTAGTTTCAGTATAGGAAAAAAAAATTGGAAAAACGAGATGAGTTGGTTTAAAAATTACTGCGGTTATTTTCCGTTGCTTTCCTAAAATCTGAGTGAATGAAATGAATTCCCAATGCTTTATTTATTTTGGGGAGGGGGAAAGAAAGAAGAATTTTATATATTTAACGTAAATTGAAAAGGAGACCTCTCTGGCAAATTAAAACTGAGGGATCCTGAATATAAATATAACTGAATTTATGTTTGTGTGGATTCATCCAGCATCCAAATCAAGTGGCTTTCTTTAAGTTTAGCTGAGGTGAACACATATTCAAGAACCTAAAGTCTAAATGTTTTTTATGGAAGCTCTCAGGGTGACTAAATGTCCTCGTAATGATTTCCATTTCAAATTCCTAATCTACAGCTTTGATCACAGTCAGGTCTCAGATGTTTACACAGTAAGAATGCCGGTTTGTAAAACTGTAAGGAGGTGTGTCACAGAGGGAGAGGTTTCAGTATCAGGCCTCACTGCTGGTTTCAGCACGGGCTGAAATGCAAATCTTTTTTAGAGGAATGACAATAAGACAGTCGATGTGTTTTGAATATCTGGTAACTCCCGTGTGAGGACGATGGGCTCAACTCAGCAGCAGAAACACACTGAAAAACTGACGCCACACATTTTTAAAAAGCTTAGAAATGCTGCTGTTTACCAAAACTTTTCATGATTATTACAAAATGTACAATATAGTGTCATTATAATACCTGCAATACAGATGAATTCATTTTGTGTTTTTGCACAAATAATGGAAGATACCCCCAAATGATGAATTGCTTGGAAACAGGTTAAGAAGAATCAACAATGTGAAACTCACTGTTGGATTTACTTTCAATTTAAAAAAAAAAAAAAGCAAAGTGACAATAGCAAGCATCGTGATATCAAATGTACAAAAAACACATGAAAAAAAACACAAAGTCAGACAATTATGTACACATTTCACTTAAGATTTAAGGCTTTTGTCAGCGTCAGCAGCTTCTCTAAACCCACAATTATTTCCACTGGTTTCCCTTGACAGTATTTGTGATGGATGCGAGTTTATTTGCATGCTCAGTCACCTCACTCTGTCCACATATTCAAAACATCTACATCAGTCTTCATCACTGCTCCACGCGTCCTGAAAGGCAGGGTTCACCGAGGACTGGCCGGCGGCACCCTGTGAGGAATCAAGAGATGTTAAGTCGGAAGAAGATCCATGACAAAATACAGAACATACGCACACCATTTACAACCTTATATGGGCTTCCTGTACAGTAGGAAAAAAAAACAAGAGTGCATCCTTGTCAAATGTGTACATGACGGATACCTGAGTTCATCTGATGAATGTACCGACTAGTCTAACTGGAAAAATATTCGTCAATTAATAGGTATTGCTTGAATGTGGAGATAGCCTCACATAGTGGAGTGGAGTGGAGTGAATTCAGTAGCAGTGTGTACCAGGGGAGCACTTATTTCTTAGATGTCACACACTCATCTATGATCTTATTTTTTTTAAAATAACAAAAAGATAAAAGACAGTGGTTGATGATAGGTTCACAATTTGTTTTTAAGTTTGTATTTTGTTTGAGTGCAACAAGGACTTTGGATTTTGTTTCCCATCATTTATACTGGAAGTGCATTAGGAGGGAATTGTTCAAGGACTGATACAAAAGAAGGAACAATTATAGAAAGGTAAAACATGTTTCAGTGCTCTTATAGACACCTGACAGCTGGCAGATTTGTGATATTATCCTTTACGTGCTGAGATTGTCATTGAACTAAATTCATAATGTGGGCCTTGGAAGCACAGACATTAAAAACCTCGACATCCTATGAAGTCTGTTATATGTACTAAGGTTATTTAATTACAGAAATTAAATCCCTTATCCAGTATTGCTTCCTGTTTTTATGGCCAATACCTTATTTTCTCGACTCGTCTCTTCTTCCACATCTGAGGCGCGGAGGACAGGAACCCACGCCAGGATGTTACAGTCTTTGCCTCCACTGTACAGCTCCTACACACAAACAACAAGGACACCTTCATTTGATGACTGGTGTTAACTATCATAATGAAACCAAGAGTAATGTAATCAATAAGCTAAAAACTTTCCACGCAAAGCAAGTGAACTCATGGGAGACATTGTCAGCGTCATGGGCCTGACTACGGTCATGACATCAGACAAAAAGCATCACCAAAAAAAAAAAAGTAAAACACATTTTCAGAACTTGCTTTTCTTTCCTGGAACTCTCCAGAGCGACAAGCAGCCAAACGACATTCTTATGCGTCTTACACATAAGAATCTACGGCTGACACTGAATGCTGGAATTGCCTAATAGGAAGGGCGTGAATTGGACATCCCTCCGTATTTGTGGTGATAATGCTTAACTTAAGTTGCGCAACAATTAAGGTGTTTCTCGGCACAAAGGGTTATAACTGACACCTAAATAAACAACACAAAAGTGCAGACAGATTAATACCATATGAGGTTGTTATTAAAGAACGTTTAGAAAAAGAATATACACACACAGAAATATATTTATACACAAACTCGCGACTGATTTCAGGAAATAGCTTAAATGAAAACCAACATGGTTTCAGTCCAGTATTACTGCTATTTCAGTATTTGGCCTATTGTGGATTTGGTATGTCTGTGGGGAAATTAGCAACTAATATGGTTCGTCTTAAAAATTTGCTTAATATTTTTCTTCCTCCACAATTAGTAATAATGCTAAAAGACAACCTGGGAAAAAAATAAAACCAAAGCAGAAGTGTGGAAACCTGCAGTTCCTCAGATGGCCACTAATGGCTGGCTCCAAGCCCAAGTCTGTCCCTATAGAGCCCCATGTTAAAATGTCTAACTTTACATCAGAAATAAACATGTTTACAGCTCAGTACAGAACATGGTTGTGGTCTCTATGGCTAATTTCCCCGTACAGGGAGGGGGTCAATTTTTATATAACTCCATCCATCCATTATCTATACATCGCTTAATCCTCACTAGGGTCGCGGTCACTTAGAGACAGACAACCAAGCACACTCACATTCACACCTACGGACAATTTAGAATCACCAATTAACCTCAACATGTTTTTGGACTTGAGGGAGGAAGCCGGAGAACCCGGTGGAGGACCCACGCTGCACGGGGAGAACATGTAAACTCCATGCAGAAAGACCCCGGTGCCCCCACCGGGACACGAACCGGCGACCTTCTTGCTGCGAGGCAACAGTGCTAACCACTGATCCACCTTGCAGCCAATCTTTTTTCTCTTATATATCTTTGCATGTCATATGTATACCGTAACATAACTTCACAATTTGCACCTGTTCGATCTGTGAAGCTCACAATGCTGACAATTCCATCCTTGAATCCTCAAATGACACCAGGAACCAGCAGAGTGTTAAAAATGACAGTGAAGGTAAAATAAGACAGTCCCTCATTGTCCTCATTCTGATACTGACGAGATAAAGGAGATGGCAGTGCAGATATGCAGTGAAACTTTGGCCTCGCCAAGTTCAGTTTATTTATAAAGCACATTTCATATGACAGACGTAGACTCAGTGTGATGTCTGACAATAACACAAAGTCACAGTCAGCATGTGGGCCGAGCAACAACTTCTGTCTCACAATAGGAACACCTGCTTTTGCATTTATAGCCGCAAATGTTGACTTTACCACACTATCTGTCAGGAGGACGTCGCTCAGTTGAGACTGCTATGGTGATTGCAAATTTCTAATGGCTCCTACTACTCAGCTGATAAAAAAAGAAAAAGACAACTGACAGAGAGAGCCTGACCTTAATTCACATTGCCTATCGGAGACAAACAAGGCTTGACTGGCAGAGCAAGCAGAAACTCATTGGCAAAACGTAAACAAACAGCAGACAGATGGGTACACTGTCACCACTGGGGGCACTGGTGCGTCTCACCTGGTAGTCTGGATGAAATTCACAGCAGTCGACGTTGTTATAGTGACCTCTGAGCATCGTGACCAGTTCTCCTGAGTGGAGGGCGTACACTGCTACTGAGCTGCCGCATGGCACAAACACAAACTCTGGGCTGCAGCCGTGGGACACTGTGAACTGCAGCCTTTTACGACTCTCGTTGCAGACCTTCCCATAATTTACCTGAGGGATGGAAAAGTGAAGAGACACAAGGTTCAGATGAAGTGTGTACACAAGTGAGAATGTGAACTGCTTATTACACTGAACAGTGTGAGATGGGATGTTTCCTAGAAGCTTTTTTTGTGTCAGCAAATTTTCTCCATTTGTATTAGTTAAGACTTTTAAAAACTTGCTAACAGACAGCATAGGAAGAAGCTGCTATTTTAAGGCTGTTGACATACAGTATGAAGCCTATAGATCACTGTCATTTCAAACACTGATGCTGACTTTTCCGAAACTTCCAGAGTCCCTGAAATCAAGACAAGTACAAATAAGAAAATTACACAACCTTTAAAGTACAGCGTTACTAATTGTACTCTTTTCACCAATCTCATCATTATTCAAGTCTGATCTTTGACCATCAGAGAAGGTTATCTGCCCTTTAAGTCACTGAGTTTTGCTACTGCCTCAAGATGTAGAAATGCCTACCATGGCAACTGCAGCATGAAGCAGCAGAGCAGGGAATTAGGACAGGAGGCTGGGAGACAGCCCGGGGCAAAGGCAGAGTTTCCCCAAGCGTTAGGGTGAGGTTATATTCCTGCGGTGTGGGGTTCTGTATCACGTTGGATATTCAAATATTGCATGCAAATATTTTATTTTTGCAATGAGCCTAATGTTATGAAGTCAGTCAGGGCTAAAGCACCCATTTAGGCTGTTGGTTGATCTCTCTGCTCTGATTTCTTATTGTCTCTTTTCTGTTTCTGTAACCAAAAACCACAAGAGTTAAATATTCAGTCCTGAAGAGCCTGTAAGAGCTGTGGTGTAAACAAAGTGTTCCAATGAGTTTAACAGTGGCTGATTGTTGGTTAGCAGACTGTTCCTGTTTCACCTGTTTACATACTGATATCACAACCTAATTACCACGGATAGCATCATTCTTTTGGGGGTGGGGACAAGTTAATTCATGGAGTAACTCCCCTTTCAAGATGGATTCTTTCACAAGGACTATATCGAAAATTGAGAAGAAAAAGGCACTGGGAAGTTTTTATTTATTTATTTTTTTAACATGGAAATATGAAGACAAGTGTCCAAGACCCACAAGTACAACTTTAAAGTCATTTTTAATGTATTTTGGTAAAATAAAAGACAACTTTCAATTTGTCTGTTATGTTCAGTACAATATCGAGGCAGTCTCTTTTAAATTTGAAATTGTGAATGGCAGTAAAAAATCATGTCTAGCATTCACTGTGTAAAAGCTTAAAACCGGATGTAAAGGGAGTTGTTGTCCTGCCCTAGTTAGAACTTGTGCAGCAGCATTCAGTACCTGTCTGCAGATGCTTCAGAGTCCTGAGGAAGCCCAGAGGGGGAAGTCGTCATATAGACTAATCGGCACTCAAGCTCAGATTTAGGCCTCAAGGATTCCAGCTCTAGCAGTTTGTTTACACCAATGGTCCTTGTATGTACCTGGGTTCTTTGGATAACTGTGAGTGCCGGGGATTACTTCCTAATCAATATTCTAAAATCAGATAATCACCAACAAACTCTGCAGCTATATTAAACTTTTTTGTCTTGTTTAGTTCACTGTTTGGGTCTTGTGGGATACACCCATTTCCAGCCTAAAGCCCCAATACAGACACTGCACACTACCTGCCAAGCACCAAAGTACAAACACAGACAAAGCTCACACATCATTAATGGAACTGAGCATCTAGACAGCTGTCAATGCAGATGTTCTTCTCAGTAGTTTAAACCGATAAAAACAGTCAATAAGGAGTGTCGACAGGGGGCTTATTTTCAGCAGCTGATCATGGTTCCAAATGAGATTCAGGAAATTCCCTCCTATGTCAGGAAAAACTGATGCCATGGAAAACAGGCTTTAACACGAGACATCCTGTGTGATGTTTGGGGTATATATTCACTTGTTCCTCTTTCTTTCAGGAGTCTGTTTAGGAAAAGGCAAATAAAATTGATCTGTTGCAACCATGTTATTCAAAGTAAGTGTTTATTTAGGTAGGCTATGAATGCAAACCCCTTAGAAATCCACCTTACCAGCGTGTTTTCCCCGGTGGCACTATTCCATAGTCTCATTCGGTCATCAGTTCCAGTAGTGAGGAGGTAGAGGCCATCGCCAGTGAAGCATAGGCCGTTCACTCTGCCATTATGGGCTGTGTTTACTGGTTAGAGACAGGCAGGACATGACAACAGGGCATTTGTCATCTCTTTTCTTTCATCACTGTAGAGCTTCTACACCACATATCTTTCTCAAGCCCACAGCTCATCTTTCCATCAATAACATGCTCTTAGGCTGTGTGTGGTTAAAGCGCTCAGTCTTCTATTGTTATGCAGCATAATTGACATAAATTGGTTTAATTGTAGTCTAGTTTTCTGTCCCCTCAGCTTGAACACAAAGAGACTTCGCACAGAAACAACAGATACTATATGAGCAGAATGCTAACCTTTCCTCCACAGAGACGAAAACCACACTGTACCAACCTGAAAAACCTGAAAGCTATTAGACATCGCGTCTGAGAGGATAACAAAGTCCTTGTATAGCACATTGAGTTTTAAATATATTCTTTGAAGTTATCAGGGAGGTGGATCTACAGTAATGTGTGTCTGCGGAACTATTCAGCAGCACTTAAGTTATATGCCGTATTGCGGGCGGGCTGAAAGGACATGCTGGACGGTGAAAGGTAGATTGATGTTGTACAAGAACGCACTGAACTGTTACCCTGTCAATTACACCCCAGTGGGCTGCCTGACAAAAAACCCTGTCACAATGTCCTTCACTGTCTGGATTTTTGAACTTCTTTAAATAGTAGGCTGTAAGATCTATAGAATGCCCAGCCTACTAAGGATAAATGAGGAAAAGATGCTTGAAAAGTAAAGCGGAGAGGTAACAGTACCTGCTTCAGAGGAGGCTTTCGACTTGTCTCCATTGTGCTGGTCCAGAGTGAAGAGACAACCCGAAGCGCGACGCACATCCCATACTTTGACCTTGCTGTCTGCGCTTAGGGGGAGAAATTCAGGAATTATTTGTTTGTGTTTGATTACTCCACTAACGAGTGCAAAACAAGGTGCAAATTCAGACTGATGTGTTTCATATGCTGCAGACGAGCGCGCGTGCGGCCCAGTGTTTGTTTGGAAAAGGTCAATTTCCTGTTGGGAATTAATATGCTGGGCCTAACAGAATATCATATACTGCTCTGTGTGCCTCTCTGTGCCAGTTGTTTTCAAAATCACTTACAGTCCAAAGGGACAGAAGCGCACTGATCCCAATGGGTTAATTAGCAGGTCTAATGTGGCATAAAACAGGTGGGGACTGTATCTACCATATGCCGCACTGACAGGGCTACTAGAGTGCCACAGTGCCTATCTAGTAGTGATGTGGTACCATTATCCTTGACTCGGGGTTGCAGTGCGGCCAGATGGTCGGGAAAGTGAGATGACAAGAACTGCTGGGACGCAACATGGTGGGGACTGGCCTGTACCTGGCGTAATGCTTTGATGTGGCTCTGAGGACAAACTAGGTTACAGTTTCAGGGGCTGAATCTCCACAGGCAAGAAAGGCAGCTAGCGGAGCTTACCTGGCAGTGGCTAAGATGTGCTCGTATCTGGGTGACCACCGCACAGACAGGATCTCTCCTCTGTGACCTGGGATGGCAGAGAAGTCATTGTTTATCCCTCAGATGTGTGTACAAACATGTGTGTGCGAAGAAAAACAAGTGAAAGTACTCTAGTCCACTGACCATGAAGAACATGAATCCGTGAGCCAGACTTCAGGTCACACAGCTGGATTTTAGGGTTTTGTGTGCCAACTGAAAATGAACCAGAGATAGTTAAGAGAAAGGACATGGAAGACAGTCGTTATTGTTGGTTTGAAACACTAAAAGAACCCCAGAATAATAGAGATAACTTACTGAATACTACTATTACTTTCAATAACACAGGTTTAACCCAACATTCCTATTTATCAATACGATCAAAATATAAGTTTATCTAAATAAATGTGACAGTATAATCTGCTACAATAACAGAAATGTGCTGAGATTGCTGAGATATGCCGCCGTTTTCACAGATAAGGTATGAAAACTCGCTGATTTAAACTTCTGATACATACATAAGCTGACACACCTGCATGAATACGTGAGAGGCGGGCAAGCTAGCCGGTAAAAAATTACAAAACAAAGAAGATGATGAGACCGCTGTTGAAATCTAAACAGCCCAAATTATGCAGAATTATTGAGTTAATGGCGCTTTTTAGGAGCAGATTCCCTTCAAAGCATCTTCCTAGATAAAGTAAGTGACTCCTGGGACGTTTGCAACCTGTTTGACAAGCATCTGTAACACCTCTGGGAGGGAAGGACATAGGACAAGAAAATAGACAGAGAGTGCGATTGTTTCCGGACAAGAAACAGGCGTGTCGAAGGGAGTGGTTTGCGTATGTGACAGGGAAAAGATTTAGGAGCATGTACTGAGCAGGCATGAGTAACCTGTTGGTCCTGCTTGGGGGGCAATGAAAGACTAAGATTCCTACGATGTTTCTCCACAGAAATCTGTCCTTGTGTAGTCAGCCTTCGACCTACTTCTGTCCCCTTCAGGGACATGTTACTCTACAACCTGGGGGTACAAGGTATGGGGCGGCGTCTGCAGAGTGCTGAGAGAAACAAATAGCATCTTGCTTGGGGAAATTAATTAAAAGAAGACAGGATAACTAATGGGAGTTCTGCCCAAAGTTCAATGCTTCTCAGCACGCAATGAGAGAAATGTGAGTAGCAAACCCAGCTGGTTTGTTCTGCGTCATTAAGATCAGCAAAAAACTGTGACTGCTTTCACACCCACACCTGCAATGAGACTGTGCTTCCTGGCGATGGGGGACAGGTGGTGACTGTAGACATTGCCCTCGAACTCAAACACTTCAGCAGGCTAAAGAATCACAGTGAGAGAGAAAGAGAGGGAGATGAGCAGACAGAGGTCAGTTATGGTAGAAATTAAAGCTAAGTGTGTATATATATATGTATACATACACACATGCACACACACACACACACACACACACACACACACATATATATATACACACTGAATGAAAAACAAATTTTATGATAAAATATACAACCATGTCCTTAAAATTTAATGGTAGCATTATTTCACCAGAGTTGAGGGACAGAGTTCACGGAATGAATTAGATAAAAATAAAAAGCGAGTAGCGAGGGAGGACACAGCAGCTCAGAGCTCAGAAGGCAGCTCACCCGAGCAGCAGTGGTGGTTACAATGCAAATTCTTCAGCAAACATAAAAAGCCTCTCTGTGCTCCATCTGTCAGTGTGTGCCAACACCAGCACGGACTTAGCCAACGGACGCGCCCGCACGCACACGCACACACACACACACACACACACACACACACACACACACACACACACACACACACACACACACACACATACACACACACACACGCACACACACACAGAGGAGGCTCTGTTTGCATAAAAATGCTGCACATAGACATACACCAAGTGTTCAACAATTCAAAACGCACGCTAATGTGCAAATGCACAGTCACAATAAATAATTTAATAGGTACGAGTGTGTGTTTGTGTAGTACACAGAGACAGAGACACACAAAGGTAGCCAAATGAAAGGTCGGTGGGTTCTTTTCTGTCCCTTCCCTGACCTTTAGAGGTAAGCGTGGTGCCAGTGTAACTCTAGCACAGCTCTGGGCCTGCCATATGGGACAATGTGGCATAGAAAGGTAGAAAGCATGAAGCAGAAAATAAGAAACAGAGGGGAAGAGATAGTGAAAAGAGCAAAAGGAGAGAAAGTGTGGTGGAGCTGTGTATTAGAATTAGACCATGCCATGCAATGCAATCTCTTGGTTCCACAGTAAATTCTATCTCTATGAAGTTTATACTACAACACTGAGTATTTGTTGACACTGTCAGAGTTGTTGATTTAGCTTTGTATTAACGAGGTTTATACTGGATTGAACTTTAATCAAGTACCTCTAATTTAGTCTGTACCACTTTACACACTGTAAACTTAATGTATCCATATAATATGGAATAAACTTGGTAAATAAGTCTGCAGGCGACATGCCTTACCTTTAATGTCTCAGTGTCCCAGACTTTCATGGTCTTGTCAAAGGAGCTGGAGATAAACATCCCTGTGTCATAAGGATACCACTGGACGGTCTCTACACTGAATTTGTGGACATACCGACTTGACCTAGAAAAAAATATGACAATGATGTATCGAGCAGCAGCAAATATGATGGGATATGACTGTTTAGACTGAGGCCACAGTGCCACAAATTAGATACGCTTTCGATTAAGTGCTGCATATTAATGCTGACAAAGCCAGATTTAATTGGGGAAGAAAAAGTATGATTCAGACCATTTCATGCACAAAATATTACTATACCCTAAAGTCAAGCCTGTGACAACGACATGCTACTCTGAAAGCTTAATGGGATGCTACCCTCTAGTGGATAAAATTAGTAAATGGCGTAACATTTACCGGCCCACTGTGCAGACGGCCTTGCAGGTGTACTGTGGTTTCCCACTGAAATTCTCCAGGTCATAGATGACGATTACTCCATCTGCACCTCCAGACAACATGCTAAACAATGGAAAACATCAACTTTAAATGTTGCTTTACTTTATTGTACACATTTTAGGAATTCTGCATAGAGTTGTCTTTTTCAGTGATCTGTCAGTTTGGTTATCTCAATGTAAAATGTAAGAATGGACTAAACAGAAGAACACAGGCAAAAAACAACAACATCATTTTGCTGTAACACTATTAATAGTTCCCAAGGGTACACTACAGTTTCTGCATATGTATTATCCCAATCATTGCAATGGTGCATTTTGTATTTATCAGAAATCTACAGGGAACAGTAATGTAGTCATTTATAAAACTGTAGTAAATGAAGGCAAGGACTTACTGTTTTCCCTCGATTGCATCAATGTCAATAGTATTAACGCCATTTCCGTGAACTCGGTCCACATCTCTGTCAGGATTCAACTTCAGACCCAGGACCCTTTGGTGGTTACAAAAATGGAACATTTGCATCACTGGACTTAAATGATTCACATAGATTTTTATTATCCAAGAATATTGGAAACTCAAAGGAACCCTGTAAAAGGAAACTTATTAGATAGAGCTGCTGATTGCATAAGTAGTCAGTCAAGTTTCTCACATATAAAATTTGGCTTAGTTTAAATGAAATAACTTGGCTTTACCTCAGACAACATTAGCAACCTTACACTCGAAAAAAAACCCATAAAATGTGCATTACAGAAGACCATGTATGCACTAGACTTTGCGTGTGTAATATAAAAATGCAACTACCAATATCAAGGACAACAGTTTTTAAGTTAACAAAACTGCATGTAGTTAACATACAGCAAGTACTCGTCCCCCTTGGATATTTTATTGCTTTTCGACATTAAACCATGTTCAATTTATTAGGGCATGTTTGACAAGAATTTTTTAAAAGAGGCTCTTATGTCAAAGTGAAAACAGATCTCTACAAAAAAAAAGAAAAAGAAGTGACTGCAAAAGTATCACTTTAAAGTGACTTGACTTTTTTCAATACATGTACAACCAATTGGTGCTAAAAGTCACAACAAGTACAAATAAAGATCATTTAGGTCCAGTTATTGTGTTTTAAGTGAAGTAAACTGGAAGAAGGTTCTTTGGTCTGATGAGACTAGGATTGAGCTGTTAGGCCATCAGACTAAATGCTATGTTTGGCATACACCAAACGCTGCACATCATCACAAACACACCATCTCCACTTTGAGGCATGGTGGTGGCAGCATCATGATGTGAGGATGCTTCTCAGCAGCAGGTCGTGGAGGGCTTGTAAAGGTAGCGGGTAAACTGAATGCAACAAAGTACAGCGAATCCTAGAGGACAACCTGATGCAGTCTGCAAGATAACTGTGACTTGGGAGAAAATTTTTATTCCAGCAAGACAATGACCTGAAGCACATAACCAAATCTACACACAAATGGCTTAAAGACAACAAAGTAAGAGCCCAGACCTCTAGTCAATTAAGAATTTGTGTCTGCGCTTGAAAAGGGGCTGTTCACTCCCGATTCCTGTGTAACCTGAGAGTTTTGAAAAGTAGAAGAGGGTACATTTGCAGTATCCAGATGGCAACTGAGACCTATCCACACAGGCTCAAAGCTGCAATTTCAGCCAAAGGGGCTTCAACTAAATACTGTCTCGAAGGGGATAAATACCTAAGCAGTCACCTCAATTGATCTTTTACATATTTATTAATTAATTGGCATTACCTGTAGAAATTTATTTTCATTTCAAGATGAAATAGTCTTGTTTTTCTTGTAAATCCTTGCTAAAAAAGTCAAACTACATAGGAAACGATTCAATGTTGAAAAGCAATAAAAGGGGAAAACTTCCGGAGACGATGAACGCTTTTGACACTGTATGCGACCTTCATATAATAGTGGTATGATTTAAGATGAACAGTTTAATGAGTCAATAAACCACATCGCACACGTGAAATAAGTGTTTTTGCCATTTTTGTATATTACCAAAGCGTTTTTCGATGGTTATAAGAATCTACAAGTACTACACAACGTAAACACCCACTTAATGTACTGATACTTCTACTGGCATCCTCTCTCACCTTCTCGTTGACTCTGCACGTCTCAGTCGCAGAGGATCATCCAGACCAGCTTGCCTTGCTGTCAGAAATCCCAACATTGCTTCGGCTTGAAGAGAAACTGCTTTAAATTTTGAAACAGAGCCTGTATTTAACCCGTGCTAACGTTAGCTAACCTAGCTCAAAGGCTAACATGTTACCTATAATGAAGTGCGTTTCTACTTCACACGGAGTCTCTACGTGTCCGACAAGCATTATATTGTACCTACAGTTCCATGACGTTTATATGGGCTTTAAAAATCTACTACGGCACAATTCTTTTATTACTTAATGCTCATTTTGCGATAATTTCGACGAGCTACGTTACAGCTCAAAGCAATACGCCGCCATGTTGGATTACAACGCGCATTCTATAATGAGCGCGGTGATTGGTTGGTCGACAACAACCGTCCAATCACAAAACAGTTTGTTAGTTACCGTCCCTGCCCACTAACACTTGCATAAACAACGGACTCAGAGGACAGACAGACAGCTGGCAAGGGACGTAAACAAATTGTCGAAAACCTTCGGGTTTTGGAGTGAAGATGAGCAGATTTATCGGACTTCTGCGGCGTACCTATGGAGTAGTACGCGAACACGTCGGCACAGATCATCTGGGGAATAAATATTACTTCATCCCAGAGCAGAAGACCTGGACAGGTAAACTACGACTTGTGCTAACATTAGCCACTTGTGATTTCGTTAGCAGTCGTCACACATGTAGGCAAGTGGAGATTACTTCGAAAAGCGGCTATTAAAACCTGTGTTTTCTTACTGTGTCCCCTGCAGTATGTCTTCAGGCTGTGGCTGTATTCACTGCTATAGCCTAAGCTGCTCCTTCCTGTTTTACGTTTATATCGCTGCTTTAGGTTAATTATAGTTCAAAACTCCACACGATGCTTGACGTTTATTCTGTGTTTTCCATCCATGTACCACCGCATTCTTCCTACAATGTGCTGTTTTGGGTGACTTTACCTTTACCCTTTGTAGTATCCCAAGTCTGCCACTAGATGGCGCATCAGTCTCAATAACAACATTGTCATTTTGGAGTTTTTATATCAGGTTTCTTTTGTCTGTATTTAATGCAAGTCACTGCTAACTGCGTTTAAGTTGTTTTGCGAGGCAGAATATGACAGCTCCACTGTTCCTGACGTCCAAAGAGAAAAGATGAGCCCTTCACTGTCGCAGATGAAACCATCACTCGTCTGTGATGAGGATTTATAAGGAGGTCATATATCCCTACTGAGACATGGCAGTGCTACAGTACGTACCGCTCAAGCCAAGCAGTAGAACTGTGTCAGGCTAATCCATGGTGGGATGCCAATGGTGTCCTTCACACCGTCTCTGACTTCGAAGGCCAAGGACGTGCGTGTTGGCCTTGTGCACTCAATGGCCAGGCTTGCTGTGAGTCCTTCTCCAGTTGTCCCGTCTTTCTAATGGCGAATAGAAGTGTGTCGAGGACAGGAACATGACAAGGTGTAGGCCATGGTAATGACTCACTTCAGCTAGGGGAATGAAGGTTTGTTGGCATTCCAGTTTTTGAGGACTCTGTTAATGTGGCAGACTGAGCTTTGGGGGTGTTTTTTGTGAGGAATTGTACACTGAGGTCACTTTTACGGAAAATACATCGAAGAAATCTAGATTAATAATGTGTCATACCTATACATGAGCTTATTTTTGTTGGAAATACAGCGATGCATTCAATGTGTACAAGCGCTGTCTCCGAATTTAACTCATGAACAAAATCCAGGCTCTAAATCCCACGTCCCCCCGCCTCCCTTTACCGCCTTAAATCATCATCAGCAGGGCTCCGACACAGACTATAGGCTATGGGTCAGGGATCACAGGTCAAAGATCAAGACCTCTGGCTGCTTCAGACATGATACTGCTGGTTAACAGCCACAGGCATTTGGCTTATTAATAACAATGGGTTTTTCCAGAATTATCGTTCCTGAGCAGGGTTCACTGCATTCCCAAGAAAATGCACCTCATTCGATAGCAGGAGTTTAGGAATCGTTCTATCCCACCTACACATTCTTGTGTTTGTCTCCCTCTCTTGGTGCCACATTATGCAGGCGAGATGAAGTTTATCTTTCACTTGCATGGAATAAATAGATGTCAGACATAGAATCCAGTCGGCGGTACTTTCCTCAGCGGGCGAAACTGAGCTGTTTTGTTTGTTTTTGGGTTGTTTTTGTTTTTGTTTAGCTGAAGAGGGACCGACCTCTGGCAGGTTGCAAGCCAGCGTTCTCTCTGACTGAACTTGACTTTGCGCTTCACCTTTTCTCAGCAGTTTGTGGGTAAACTTGCACCCACCTCGTATTTATAATTCATTACAAGGCTGCTCCTCTACCCCTGGCTGTCAGACTATTCAAATGAGACATCACAGAAGCCCATTTTCTAGCACGCTACAGGCTACCGTATTCACTGTCCCATCACAATGACTGACACTGTAGAGAGGCTAGTTGGCTTGTAGGGAAGCTGGTTAGGAACAAGCACGATCATGATTGCGAGACAGGCACATATTCGTAATAAACATATAGAAATATATGCCGCACACATTTGTGTCTTTTTTTTTTTTTTTTGCCACTCAGCCCATCCAGCCTTGTGGAAATAAAGTAGATGCATTATTCAGTCCATATGTCTTGCTAAAGCGAGCTCTTTTTGATCTTAAACTGATAGGCCAAGCGTGGGCTCAGGGCCTTAAGGCATGGACCGCAGGGCTTTCCACTGCAGCACATGAGTAGTGGTTGAAGTAGGTAAGGAGGCTGTCTCTCTCTCCCTCTCTGCCTACTTCCTTCTATTCATTTGTCCATCCCTAGTGCTCAGTCCATCCCTCTCTACCTTTATCCATGCTTTGCTGCTTCCATTTTCTACCTCTCTCTCAATCTGTTAACTTCGGAAAACTGGGGCGTAAGCAATTCTGACAGCCAGGGGTCGGCTACGTATTAGGATGTTAATGGTTGGTGAGACGGAAAAGGAAAAAAGGAAACAACTTTTTTATTTTGTATGGATCCGTCCTTATCTGATTTCAGCTACTTCTCCTTAGGTTGCCCTTTTTTTTTTTTATTTGCGTTCACATAGTCCTTCCTTCCCTTGCTCCTCCCCTTTATTGATGCCTCTGGATTTCCCTCCTTTGAAGTAATTCCAGTTAGGATTTCTATTCAAAACAGTGAAGTATTTCAGCAGCGAGGAGGGCTAGGCCCAGCAGAGAGCTTTCTAACCCCCTTTTCTCAGATGCTGCTCCTCATCAAAATGAAAAGGGCTGGGTCTGAAGCACATGCCTTGAGAGAGAGAGAGGGAGAGCGAGAGAATCTTTGTGTCTGTCTTTACTAAAGGTCCAGCTTTAAAGGCCTACCGTGTGCTGCTGCTGCTGCCTCATAGAGGGAACCGTGCTATAGGCAGAGTCGAGGCCCAGTGATTGTTGTCTGTGGCAGGGCTACAAGAGAGCCACTGGCAATCTGGCCACTGGTCTTAGAAGGTCTTTGCCTTGGTGTTGTCTCCATAGAGCTGAATAGAGAATATATATTCTTCTCTCTTTCTGTGTGCGTCTGTCCCCCAGGCCCAGCTCTGCCTCACGCTGCATGGGGCGCCATGTCATGCTGCCCAGATGAAAGCAAAGCATTCTGTGGATGGGCTCATTCGTCTTCAGCAGTGGGCCTGCAGCTTTGACGCCTGCCTTCCCTCCCTTTATTTAGGAAGAGAGGCGCGCTGACATTATCGGCCGCTGCAGGCACATTTGAAAATAATTGCCTGTATGATTGCTATTTTTCTTACCTCTTTGAGGAGGTGTAGCCTTTGTCTTGGAATCAATGGCTGCTCAATACTGGACAGGGGAAAGGCAGTTTCCTTTCATGTCTCAGTGAAAAGGATGTATTTTTAGCGCTATTCATTTTAGCAGTGTGTGCCATGCAGTTTTAATCTATTGGTCCTCTCCACTGTGCGGAGAATGGAAGAGATTCAGAGGTTCTTCAGAGGTGCGCCACGCTGTTGCAGAGAAAAGACGCATTGACTTGTCGTCCTATCACTATCCCTCTCTCTTTGTCTATTATTTATTTGATTCCCCGGCTCTGTTCTATGAAGTGAAAAACTGAAAAGGCCTCAGTTCTGCTATTTCAGGATGGGCGACTCTAGGGACCGAGGGAGGAGGTGTGTGTGTGTGCTTTTGCATTAGTGTGTTCATCTGTGATTGTGTACATGTGTTTGTATGGCATGACAGCCGCACACTCGGCGTGTGTGCGCACGCGGGCATTTGTATCTCCTTTGTATTTAAAAAAGACGAAAAAATCTGCAATTGTGTGTTTTTTCTCTCCACTTCATGCCCTAACACACTTAACACAACAACAGATGGCTGTGTGTCATCAGAGCGTTGATTCAAGCCGCATATTTCCACGGAAAGAGTCACAGCGGAGAGCGACGAGGGTCCAAATGGCTGTTTATTTTGCCACAAGTCATCCCCAGGGTGTGATGAAGGAAGGTCTATCCTACAGTAGGACACCAAGTCAGTGTTTACCATAGAGCAGTTATGTCCAGCGCCGCTACAGTAAATCATGCTAATTGATCAGCAGCTTCGCAATGCATGGGGTTTAAATGAAGGTTGTTTAATCATTATAGGATTTAGCTCATCTTGCCGTATATTGGTTGCCAACTGTGTATTTGTATGTGTATCTGGTGGTACATCATGGAGTGGCTTAACTACTTCATTAAAAAGGCATTTGAAAAGATAGATGCTGAAAATGAGAGATGGGCACATTTATTTTCAACGGCAGAGCATTTCAAATGGGCCTAGATCCAATATCTGCGGTTTAAGCATTTTGCAGTTCCATTAAACACCGCGTATCTACACCAAGACCTGTATCTATATACATTCAGCCTGAATAGGAAGTGTATTGCTTCCAGCTCCTGCGGGCTGATTTGTTGCTTGATGAACTACGTTGCACAGTAGATGATGCCAACAGAAGGAAGATAACAAATTAATCCCCCCCAAAAAAATGTTTCTTGCAGTTGGCCCAAGATGTGATTCACGTCCAACGCGCTTCATGTCTCTGTTTGGTCAGATAGTCAGTGAGAGGTTTTGACACCTCGGGGCTCTTTGTCGGTCAGAAACGCAACCAGGAAGACTGACAGACAGGCCGACGCACAAGCAGACATCTCCTGAAGCCTGCCGCGGCTTATTCAATTCAGAATATTTTAATAAAGCAGACAGGCAGAGAGAAATAAGGCAAGGAGTAAGGGAGGAAAGATAAGGCTGAGGGAGACTCGGGGAGGGTGGAGAAGAAGGTGGGGTACAGAAAGTGAGTGACAAAGAACAAAGGGGATGCTGACATATGGGGTGAAATTATGGAGTGGTGGTGGGGGGGGGGAATGGAAAGAGTAAAAGTGAAAGGAAGGTTTCTGATAGAAAGAGGGTGAAATGAGTGGGTGGAACAGGCAGACAGATAGAGGGGGAGAGAGAGAAGGTGGAGATAGGTTAATGGAGAGAGAGAGTGGGGAGGTGGGGGGGCGACTTAAGGTGCAGCGGAGGGAGAAGGAAGGGGGCTGGATGGAAGTGATGGAGGTGAATAGAACAGGGTGGACAGCTCAGTGTATGGACATCACACGCAAGGGCCTCAGAGGAGCTGCTGAGGAAGGAAGGGGATCCACACCGCTCGGCAGCCTCACAAAGGATGCTGACTTCCTGGCTCAACACGGCCCTTTTCTATAACCCACTGGGCAGGGAGGAGACTTTAAAAAAAAAAAGGATGGGTAGTCTTAGGCAGAGCAGGGCTAAAAGTATTTCCTCCACCCTTAAGTATGCCTGCATTTAGTTAAAAGTAACACACAGGGGAAATCAAAGTATTCTCTTCAGCATGTTATTACTTCTATATGAATTATTCTCCTCTGTTCTGCCGTGAGTCGCTCAAACCTCAGTGGGATTGACAGCAACAGGGACAAACAGAATGAGGGCTGAATAAAACCGAACGGCGGCAGCAGCAGCAGCAGGCCTACTTTACACCTAAGCTTCTCCTCTCACCAGCACTGATGCAAAACAACGACTGGCCTTTTCCTTATAAACCTCATCCCGCATCACTAGGCTCTGGGCTAATGGGTAACCATGGTTACAGGCCTTACACATCCCCTCCATTTTTTTTTTTTTCCAGGGAAAGAGATTGGAAGGAGGGAGACGGAGAGGTGGGGGAGAAGGGTGTCCATATCGGTACCTGGTTGCCCTTGTATCGCTGATGCTTATCGGATCACTCCATCTTCATAAAGCTGTCCGTTACGATAAACGCATTGGTCTCCCCCCCATCCTTCTCCTGCACGCTGCTCAGCTGGAGAGGACTAAAGTAGACTCAACCCCAGGCCGACGGTCTTGCAGTTTCTGGACGGCTTTTTTTTTGTTCCACCACTGTGTCCGGGCCTAGAACCCCCTGCTTCACCTCGCTCCATCACGAAGGCTGAGAAATCTGCTCTGCCTCTTGAGAGGGAGCAGTGGTGCATGCCATGCTGTTGCAGTTGGGAGCTTTTGTCTACATTGCAATCTGTTCAGAGACGAGCCAGCATGATGCGTCTTAGGCTAGACATCATGGTGGGGAGCGGGAGACGTGGTTCACCAGTCGGGGTCAGGTGCTCCGAGCTCATTCTGTCTTGAGTTTTAAGGACTCTCCTTACCCCGGATGTTTGCTGATCGAAGTGTGTTCCACTGACACCTGCGTCAACACGGCGCAGGAGTGAAGCGCTCGGTGAAAGAGACGGCACAAGATGCCCGGAATGACATTGTAGAGGTGAAAAACCTCTCAGGTCGCCCTCAGCAGCACTCACCTGGGAGCTGATGTGTGAAGTTGGGGGTTTTGTGAGAGTGTGTGTGTGTGCGCGAGTGTGTGTGTGTGTGTTGAAGCAGGTGATGGAGTTTAGCGGGGTGTGTTCAGGGTTCAAAGAGCAGCCCTCGGAGCGCATCATGTCTTATTTTAACGAATGGGAAGGATTTGAAGTGCGGCTGCCACAGCAACCCCTCACCCATTCTGCTCGGCTGTCTCCTCCCTCCTTCCTTCATTTCCTCTCCTCTCCCCTCCCCTCCCCCTCCCCCCTCCTCTGGGTTCCACAGCTAGGGCTCACAGATGAGTCGCGCTCAGACAGGTGAGATGGCTCATGAATATTTATGCGGTGGGAATTCATTCCTCCTGCCGCTGGCCCCTCCCCCCTCTCCAATGCAGTGCTGCGTTTGTCCTTCACGGTAAGAGGCAGCGTCCTCGCTCCTGTCCCTCAGGTTAATCTGCCTGCTCTCTAGCCAGTTGTGTGTGTGTGTGTGTGTGTGTGTATGTGTGTGTGTGTGTGTGTGTGACTGGTAAGTAGGTTTCCCCTAGTGAGTGATGAGAAGGCAGACCTGTCACAAGGGGGCCCGCTGAGATCGAGAGCTCCTAACACCCTTCATACCTCTCTTTCTCTCTCAAGGTGGGGGAGAAGGAGGGACTGAACTGTGAATCAGAAAGATAGCTTACACTCAGCTTGATGACTGTATGTGTCAGGAATCCTGAAGTGAACGCCGTATGAAGTTGAACACTAACATTGTGGTCGATCATCGGGAAAAAAATTAGGCTGATTGATGTTTGTCTAGAAAAACAGTTGAATTTTCACTCATTTTATATATCTGGAAAGTGAATACTTCTGTTTTTTTTAACTTATTAAAGGACAAAGAACTTTGGTCAGCGTTGGCGCAAACGTATGATTTCAAGACACATAAATACAACCTTGAATTTTAAAACGTCGGATCCTTGTAACTTTTCCTTCTTTGCATTTTTGTTTGACATTTGAACATCCAGTATTTACCAGCTTTTAAATGTCACACTTTTATTGGTTTTTTTTATTGTATAATATCACTGTGAGCACATTTTAAGAGGAATGTGAACTTCTGACTGGCTTTTGTCATTATTTTTTAATAAAAACTGAATTTTTAATCAGTTTTTTTAAAAAAGTAATCTATAGATGCTTGGTTGCTTGTTTTTGCTAATTTGTTTGTATGTTTTTGAGCTCTATTAGGTTGCTTGCTGGTTTGAAAAGTAATGAAGTTTAAAAAAAAAAAATCTGAATATCTTTAGATTAATTTGTAATTAACATAATTGTTAGTTGCAGGCAGCTCCTTAAGGTAAAAAAATCATTATGCAAAAAAAAAATGTGCCAGGCCAGCCAGTTGTGTTCTGCTACATTACGCTGAAGTGTAGGCCTGTGCGCGGTAATTGCATTCTTTATTAAACCTCAATTCGAACACGGCTAATTCTTTTATCAGCTCCTGTTAGCTAATGCCATTTTTAAGAGAACTTCTGTGTTTTCCTTTGTGCTTTTTTTTTGTTGTTGTAAAAGCAGTACAGCCTGGACCTGTGTGGTGTTTTTTGTTCATAGTCGTCCCAGATCAGAGATTACCAGGAGAGCTCGATTCACCCCAATCACACTGACAAGCCTCCTCCCAATGTGTATGTGGTGGGAGGATCAGTCATGTTTCATAAATATATGTACATACTGTATTTGTTATTCAAATCCAAGGATAAAAGCCGTGGTGGAAGGGGTTTAGTCATGCTGCAAAAAGCAACAAGACAAGAGGAGAGCCATGTTGGAGTGTGACAGAGAGGAGAGGGGGAGATGCAACCTAGCAGAGAGAGAGAGAGAAAAAAGTAGGTGCCTCTCTTTATGCTTATTAGCTCGGCATTAGCTGTAGCTAAGCACATTGCTTGTGGGGACTGTAATATAATTGTACCATTTTAGTCTGCTGCCACCCACACCCAATGCAAATATGGATATGATCTGTTTATAATTAGCATACCTGTTAAATGTATTTGTTAGTATTGCCTAGAGAACGCAGCCTTTTGTTTGCTGCCAGTTGTTTTTGTTTGTGCTATCGTGGGGGTTTTCTAGGAACAACTCTTTCTCAGAAGACATTTTAAGGCATGCATGTAAACAAAATGATCGTATCGTGTGTGTGTTAAACATCGCCGGGCCAGCTTTGCAGAAAAGGTGATGCAGTGTTTTTGTCAGACCTGGATATCACAAAAATAAAGCTGCAGAGCCGGAGCCTGTGAGGCCCTATAGTGACAATCTAGTGGGAGCCAAAGCAGAACCAAAGCAATACTAGCCTAATTAGCTGACCTGATTACTATATAGGCTGGATAAAGTATGGAAAGGAGTCATCCTCATAAGACGTAATTACAGAACAGCACATGCATGAAAAATGCGTTTGTCTTTATTGAAATTAGTTTAAAAGCCGACCAATAAATTCCAGTTAGGGAGACGCGAGCGGAGCGACTGCGCGGCCCACACTTAGCCACTTTTTCAGAGTGCCATCATTTATCCATCCCGGTGCCATACCTATCTGTTATGGCTGAAGTAAACATTAAGGCCATCAGTCTGCAGTGTGCATGGAGGTGGTTGCCTCCATTTGTCCATGTCCAGTCAGCTGCGGAGAAACTGTGATGGAATCCTGACAGATTGTCTGTGTTTTGGAGCGTGTTGTTTTCCTTGCCCATCCATTTCTCTCCTTCTAGCCATGTTTGCCATGCATCATCACTCTCTCTCTCTCCCTCTCTCTCTCTCTCTCCGTCTCCCTCTCCCTGCTTCTACCTCCTCCTTCCTTGCCTCATCATTTCTCAGAGGGATGGAAGCGGTAGATAGACATCCGGCTACCTGTGAGGAGAAACTATGGAAACGCAGCACTTGTTATTAGTGAACACTGTATAGGACCACACAAAGACCCAACACAACTGGCTCTTTTTTTTTTTTTAATTCTCTCGCTCTCTCTTATTGTGTCTGCATCTCCCTCCATTGCCACCCCCACCCCCCCTCTCCACCCTCTTCTGCCTTCGTCTCCATGTCATTGTGTGCCAGCCAAACTTGTCTAATCAGCAGATTTGACCAAAATAATTGGCGGTGGCCTTGCTGCTAGCGAGCGTCGTGCTGTATACAGATAGGGAAAGGAGCACTTAATATTCCACGCAGCTCGTGCCTCTCCCGTTCTCTGTGATATCTGACCTCTTTTGTCTCCTGCTCGGCTTGATGTTGATTTTGGAGGGCATTGTTAGCCAGAGCACTGTGATTGGAAGAGGTTGTCAGTGAGGGGGGCTGTGGTTGGTTGGGTTAAAGGGAGGCTGATTTGCATAAAGGCTTAGCCCAGATTTGGAGCCACTCAGCGAGATCTGAGGAGAAGGGCCCGAGGGCCACGAGGTAATCATCCATGGCCTGTCACAGCACTGTCATCCCTCTGTGTATTTGTGTGTCTGTTCGTCTGTCTGTATCTGTGTGTCTGTGTGCGCCGGAGACACAGAGCATTGTGTCTGCACCTCTTTGTGTTTGTTTGCATTTTGTATGCATCATTGTTGAGCATCTCTATCTCACTCTTGCTGCTTTTTTTTTGTTGTTGTTGTTGTTGTTGGTTTTTTTTCCTCCCAGGAAGGATCACGCGTGCCAAGCGGATAGTGGTGGCAGCCAATCCCGCAGAAGATGAATATACGGAAGGCAGCATTCCGATGGAGTGGGACGGTAAGTCTGGACTGCGGCATCACTGCTACATACTTAAACTATCACTAACACGGATAAATGACAATGTTAACAAAAGAGCTATCCAGCAGAGTACACAAAGTGCTGCACAAATAAAATGGAATGACAAATCCGTGGCTGCATCTTTTGGGGCCTAGGCTAATCCATCCTTCTTTTTTTTTTTCATACTGCATGATGGGATGGGGGGTTGGGAAAAGTGTATTCATGAGTTTATCAAAGATGCCTTCTGCTGGTGTTATACAACCGTACCATAAAATAGTGTTTCGAATTTCTTACAACTGGATACAAACTGTTCCCTCTGTCTCAGACTGGCTTTATCCACCTTAAACCCCTCATCCTGCTTCGCCCCATCCCTCATGCATTTTCATCAGGATGCAAATAAGAAAGGGATAAAAGAGGCCCAGAATCCCTGTGCTAGCTGGAGGAAGAGTTACAAAATCTCTCTCTCTCTCTCTCTCTGTTTCTGGCTCCCTTTAACCTGCTCTGCTGTGCAGCCAGCTCAGCCAAAATAGAGCTTCTTAAAAAGAGGAGAGAGAAGAAAAAAAAAAGATGACAGACAGACACAGTTCCACTCAGGAGGAAAAAGAAGGACAGAGGTATTGATGAAGAATGACAGAGTGTGTACTTTCAAATTCAAAGATCAGAGCCGTTCCACACTTTCTCTGCTGAGACACAAGCACTCGATGGCCCTTCTCTGCCTCGACTAAAGCAGTATTAATGTTTTGAGTTTACCATGTGTATAGCCCCGTGTGTTTTCCCTATAGTTTGCGAAATGAAACAAAACAAACTAAAAGAAAAAACCCTGGATACACTCCCCCAGCTAGCTCGGTTGCTCAGTAGTGGCGCTGAGCTACTGTAGTGCCCTAAAACTCACTGATGTTATAGCTGCAGCCTTTAAATATGACTGCAGGTTTTGTTTGTGCAGCGTATGTTTGTGTGGGTGTTCTCACTCTTCTTTTTTTTCTCCTCCTCCTCCTCCAGCTTGGATACGAGGCAGACGGAAGGAGCCCCCCTCCGTCGAGGTACGTCTCCCCCCCCCCACCCAGCCTCCCCGCTGTGCTGATGGTTGGACTCTGGGGGACTGGTTACAAGGGAGGGAAAAGAAGCAAAGATGGAAAGGAAAGGCTTTGATTTGTTTTATCTTACAGTTTCGAACTGAATCCAGGAACTTTGGGGGACAGGTGTTAAAATAAACAGCAGCTCAAGTGCATTGATGGCGAGACTGAGAGCAAAAACAGCCTCTGAACAAGGGGCTCACTGACACCATGTCCTAGTTTACTTTCTTTTTTTCCAGCAGAAGCCTGCATCTCGGCTTTTTGTGTTTTATTTCTGGCAGTCTCCAAGACGGGAATGGTGAAGGAGTGCAGTTTTTCCCCCTGTGTACCTCTCACTGGGTTTATTGCTCTTTAAATGTGAGAATGCTGGAAATTATTTGGCCTGTGAAATGTGGGTCTATAGGAAATCCCTTGGAAGGCCAATACCCAGGCACTCTTTCTATCTCTCTGTCCTCTCTCCCTGCCAGTAGCCAATGCCATCCCCTGCCTCTATTGCCAGAACATTCTCTTCCAATTTTCTGCCTTGCGTCTGCCCAATAGCTGCCATCGACAGCTGGACAGTGTTGATGTGGCCAAGGCTTCACTCCCAGCACATTACCCTACCCCTTGTCACGCTCCCTCTCTTCCTGGTCCAAGCCGACATAAATTGATTGGATTAAATCCTGTCATTAACAGGCTGGAAAAGCAGCTCAGTATGTTTGTCTCCCTCCCCAAAGCAGGGCTTTTTGGCCATGGCTCTCCCCTCTCTTTTCCAGTCCTTCAGTTTTGCCAGCACACAACAGCATTATGCCCAGTCCTCCCTTCTTTTTTGGCTCCCGGTGCCGGGGCGAGGCTAACATCACTGGACACTAGCTGTGGCTCAAGTGGGTAACTATTCCACCAGTGGACTGCGTTCAGTTTATAATTGTTTCCATGAGTTGGAATGGTTGTTTATATTGTGAATGCCTCCTGTCATGTTAGCTCAGCAGTCCATTCCAAGTGCTACATTATTAACCAGGGTTTATTGGACCAATATAGGTTAACTGAACGCGCTTGTTATTTTTCTAGTGAATGCCCTACTTCATACTCGACAGATACACACATTTGTTCCTGGAAGCTCCCCAGTTCGACTTCATTTCTCTTCCACTTTTCGAGTCGTGAGCAGCTGATGCTCTAAAACAAAACAGAGGCAGTTGATTAAGGAGTGGAAATTAGAATTGCTTTCAGTTTTGCAAGACAGTTTGGAGGTTCCAGCAAGCAATCTTGTGGTCACACTCCATTTTCACAAATCTTCAGGAAACTGCCACCTCCACATTTCCAACACCACAGGCTTTGGAAGATCGGATGATGGCGAGCAGGGTTGGACGATGTGACAATAAATTTGTCAAGTGTAACAGATTTTGCCGTACAGTGTGATACTGTGGTAGTCGTGCTCTTAATAGAACCAGGCAGCCATAGTGGGCAGCGTTGGAAATGAACAAGCATGACTGCTTCTAGTGATTTAATGACACAAAATTACATTAGAGTGTTATTTTTTTTCCATATCACCCACCCTCAATGCCCACTATTCATACATGGCATCACAAGACGAGAACATTTAATATCGTAGTTATTTGCAGGAATTCAGTTCTTCTATAAGATATTAAAAAATAATAATTTAAAAAGGGACTTGAGTCCAACATAGACAGATCTTTTTTTTTTTTAATGGGGCTGTGGACAGTTGGGTAACGTTCTATATTTATAAAAAATTACAATTGTGATCTTCAGCCTTTTCTTATGGAGTCTTACTGAGCGCCATCAAACTTTCAGCAATCACTGCTCGCCACCGTAGGTAGGAAATAGGTAGGAAGCTTGTTCATTTTTAATTAGGTAATCCATCCATCAATCCTCTGACATTTATCTGGGTCTAGGTCATGTGAACTGATTAATTATAGTCCTATGAATTGTTGTTACATATAGCTGGGAAGTACTGACATAGGTATATGACTTCACTTACTTAATAATTAGAAGCCATACCGTCCCTTTGGGTCCTCCATCATTCTGTAACAGTGAAGGAGGTTTTAGGTTGCATCTAAAAAGGTCTAAATTTGGTAATAAATGCAGAAACCCTGATTCTATTTGTGTGTTTCATAGGAGGTGCTGAAGAATATGTCTCGAATGGAGGAGATCAAGCTGAAGGCCAAGGAGCTGGAAGAGAAAGATCTGGCTCAAAAGGCGAAGGAGTACGAGGACGGTCTTGTGGCGATGACTGTGACTAAGGGCCACGCATCTTCCGCCAGCTTTGGCAAAGAGGAGATCAGTGAGGAACCGACCAGCACTGCAAACACGTTTCAGCCTGGCTCCTGGATGCCCGCGTCCAAGAAATAGACTGAGACCGCTGCGCGATGTAATACGATCCAGAGGAAAGGCTCTGCAATAAAAAAAAAAAACTACGTCTGTGAAACCGATATTCACTTTTAGTCGAGATTTAATCTTCTTTCCGTATAATGCAATCCAGGTCAACAACCCCATAAACTATGACCTCAGAAATAACCAGAGTTTAATCAACTTGTCGACCGTCTTCACAGAGGAAGTGTTTATTTCAAGGCAGTTTTATTGGACTGCATTACATTATAAGCGGGCTCCTACTTTCCTCAGTGGATATTGTGTACGCGCAAGACGGTATCCATCACACATCTAGAAGCTGAGTTTAAAAGTGATGACGAGAACTACATCTACCAGAGAGGTCTGTGAATAAAGACACGGGTGTACAACAAGAATGTTCTAGAAATGCTGTAAGATAATTTGTAAAATGTAATAAAACTGAACTATAGATCTATAAAAACACAGCGTTAATGTTTCTGTTTATCATGCAGGCTGCGTCCACCACCTAAAAATCCCAACAATGCATAACGTTGCAGTACATTGATCCCAGGAAGACATTCTCCCTTCGTCAGAGTGCAAAGTTCCTAAAAAGACTTCAGCACAGCCGATCCTTGGTTGAAGAGCAGCATGAACTGGAATGCTGCAGTTGAAAACAAGGTCTATCTTCTCATCTACGTTCTTCTAAATGCTCTAAAGAGATGACAGTCCTCTGCACTCAGGGATGAATGGAGCTTCAGCGAATGGAAAAACATCACTCGTCTGCATTTGTAATTCTTAGTTTTAACTGCTTCTTTACAGGCTACAAGTACTTAGAATTGCAGTACCTATAAAAGTATCGATCCCAGTGGACTTTTGAATGTTTTATTTTACAACACTGAGTCACAGTGAGTGTAATTCATTATTTAGACCGATAAACAGGAAACACACCGTTAAACTTAACACAGATCTTCACAAATATATCTAAATTAGGAACACACAGTGAGCAAAACACAAAATAATTTGCATAAAATTAAAACCCTGGCCAAAACAATCCTTCATGTCAGTGTTTAATAAAGGCACCCTAAGTAATTAGTTGATCTTTCACAGTTGTTATATATTTTCTGTGTTTTTATGAATCACCGTTCTGTCCTCCCAGGGCTACTCTATGCAGTGGAAATGTTATTTTACCCTTCTGACTTGTTTTGTTGCTTTGTCTCCGTACAGCAGTTTTTCCTTTGGTGTTATTACATTCTTATTGTGTACTGCTACGTTTATGTAATGTATGGACCACCTAAAGACAAGCGGCTGCTCCAGACCTGTGCTTAATTCTGATGAATTTCTTTTCTGTTGATCAGTACATAGAAATCTAATTAGGCACTCTGGTTCAGTGATCAGTAATTTAAAAAAAGGAAAAACATGAGTAGGTAAATAGTTTGTATGGGCGTTAAATTAAAAGCATTTGTGAGACTTTTAGAATCCAATATTAAATCCATAAAGAGAAAGTTTTCTTATCAATCATGAAAACTTTATTGACCAGAAAGTAAGAATTTGGATAACTTGAAAGTGACTGAGTTTAAAAAGTTCCAATGTGTTCATTAAATGATCAAGTCTGCAGAGCAGGGATGCTAACAATGGAATGCAAGGTGTTGCAACAGCTGCACAGTATAACAGCGGATCTCTGTATAAAAGACATCATACAGATGACCACTGCGCTCTTGCTGACCAAAGTCCCACTGGGACAAGCCTCCTCCGGGCAGTACTGTCCATCTCAGCACTGTCAAGTCTGTGGGCCCAGCGTCCCCCCCTCCTACCCCGGACATTAGGCGTAGTGGCCCTGTGCTGACAGTAGGGCCGGGACAAGGAAGGGCACCGTGTCATTGTTTGGAATAAGGATGGCTGTGAGCGTGATGGCTGCTCGTCCTTTTTTATGCCCTCATCCTGCCCCTCACAGGCTCAGTCTTTCTTGGTCCTCTTGGCTTTGGCTATGTTTTCCTGACGTTTCTGCTTTTTCTTCTGTTCGCGGTCACGTGCCTCGATCATCTTGGCCAGTTTCCAGGACAGCAGTGCGCTGGCAATGAAGAGAGGGGTGAGCGCCAGTATGACAGTGGTGAGGAAACCGTAGGGGTCTTTGGCAGCCCACTCCACCACGTACTCTGCCCATGCTCGGACGTCAATCATCCTGCTCAGCAACGATGAGCCTTGTTCAAACCTGAGTAAGAGAGAAAGCTGTAAATTACAAGAGCTGTCTGCTAGTAAAGATATTATAAGTGAGGAATTAAACATTATGGACATCATCTACTTTCACAGTGTACGCAATTTCCAAATTGTCAACAACATATACAAAGATGTAGTGCTTTGACAGGAAAATCAACTGAGACATAATTCAGGGATTGATCAACCACACAAGTGATTAAAAACTGAAATCAAAAATGTACAATCAGTTTTATTAGGGAAAAATGTAACACTTGGTTATTTTGTAAATCCCTTTAACTGAGTGCCTGTTGGCTTTGTATTGTTGGATACGCAAAGCAGCAAAAGGTTCACTATCTTCTTACATTTAATAAGAAATAAAAATAAATCAACACAGATTCATCGATCATTAGTCACGGCTCTAAACTTGACACGTGCACAATTTTTTCTGGCTCATCAGCAAAGTTAATAACTGACGAGATAAGGGACTTTCTCACATTGACGCAAGGGAAAAAAATCCAACATTGCTATGAAGCCATTCCGCTGAGCAATTTGCAACAGAGTGCAAAATGAGCCAATACACTTATTGCATTATTAGTGTTGCCATATAGTGTAATTTTGTGTAACCTGTTGAAAAGTATGGGAAAATCTCTGACAGGACAAATGTATAAACACTCATATGTCTCGACCAAACACATAGTCGCAAGAACATCCTGCTTTGAGTAAATGTATGTATTAAAATTCAACTCAAAGCTCAGCTGATGCTCAGCTTTCTTTTTAACTACTAGACGTCTGGGCTTTGTGAACTTGTGTCTTAAGTGTGTGTTTATATGTGTTGTATTTTTATTGTTGGAGCCTTGTCAAAGAAGAACTTCTGTCACTATTTGGGACAGACAATAAAGTCTGTCTATCTATCTATCTATCTACACCCTGGACTGCATGATGAAAGTGAAATAGCAGCAGTAGTCGGATATCCAGTACTGGTGAGTCAAACGCAACTGGATTTAGTGTCATTCTGGAGGATTAGGCATCTCTGATGAGTAACAAAACATCATGAAAACTAAGACTGGGGAAAGTCTGGGGGTATTTACTGTAATACTCTAGAGTTTGATAATAGATATAAAACAAGAGCCATCTGGAATCAGTTTGAACTGGTGCTCTCAAGCATTTCGAAATTATATCCGGGGGAGGGGAGGGAAAAAACACCTGACTTAGCAGTTTTTGTTTAACAAATTACAAAGTTTAATAAAATTGTCCAAACAAACAAAAAAACCTGAAATTACTGAACGATCAGATGCTAAACAACAGCCCCTCTTTAAGCTAACGGTCCAGTGATTATAGTCACACATGAGAGACAACTAGTTAGCCAAACCGCTACTTAGTGCTTTTATTCCGGTTAAACTAAGAGAGAGAGATTACATTAGATTTTGAAAACGATTCCGGTTATGAGAGTTTTGTCCACTGGCATCACTTTTATAACAAACTGATTCAGCTGTGTGGTTTTTATTCAGCTACTCAGTGGAAGTCACTGCTATGTCTCCATCGGCTAACTAGCATCCATCGGTGTCGCAGCTAGCATACGATAACTGTACTGGAAAGCGATTATGAACCATTTACTCTAGCTACGGTCCTAAACCAACAAGCTAAGCTTAAACTTTTGTCTCGTCTGTTAATATGAATAGATATGTATTTTGGAAATGTGACCAAAAGATTTAGTTTCATTTCTACAACCGCTAGCTAAGCCACCCATCCATAACGGCCTAACTTTGAGGAGCAAGAGCGCTGAGTCTCGGCTAAACAGCTCGACAGTAATGCGCGTGAATACGACAAAATATCGAATCTGTGTTTTTGTTTGGGTCAGTGGTGGTATAAACCGCACTATAAATCATGAATAAACTTACCAAAGTGTAGAAATGTGTGTATATATCCACGATGAGAACTATCGGCTCCTCCCTGTTCCGGGAAGTGTAACTGGTGTGGATCTTACTAATGTGGCATTCAGGTAATGTCGGAAAAATTCGTAAATGAGCAAAGGCGCTCTTTTTCTCACTTGGCAGCGTTCGTGCATTGTAGCCATAACACTTAGTCTGTAGTCAATAATTTGTTGGCATATCTGGCATCGTTTTCACCAAGTGATTATTTCGTCGCTGGCAGCATTTTGTGGTCGTTTCCCCACTTCCGAGTGTTTCCAACATCAGTTTAACCAATGGTAAGTGAATGCAGCACAACTTCCTGCTCGTGATTGAATATGACGCGTTTATTAGAAGATGGGAAATGTAGTCCTTTAGCCTGAGAAGGCTCTTTTTACAGTATATAAACAATCAGAAAGAGGACAGACTCTAAATACATTAAAATTAATACTGAGCTACACTGTCTTTTGCCTTTTGGAAGCGTTTTGACGCTTTGATTGACTATATTAACCAAATTATCAGGATTTTATGTTAAGTCATCGGGCCCTGTGTGGTTAAAAGAGACTGCGTTGTGATGCTGACTCACATCATTTCCAGCTTGAGCAATGTGCCCAGTGCCCTACAAGAAAACTTCACATTAAACAGCAGATAATGTATCTCTCTTCATATTGCTTTTGAAAATTAAACTCATCAGTGTCCACACATTAAACTGCTTGACAGGAGCAGGCCGAAGGGTTTAGAACGTCCAGTAAAGGTACTAAACTGTACAACAAATGTGCATGCAGAACAATAGATGCAAGCAGCTGTAATAAACACAGAGAGGCAATAACTCTAGTTTTATTGTTATGGATGTTGCTCTTCCTCTTTTAATTCTTAATATTAAACATACTTTAGAAACAAGAGCATGTTGCATAAAGTGATATAACATTTATTTGACTTATTTAGGATGAAAAATTTAAGATGTAGGTTTCAGTTATATAAAAAAAGAGGTGCTTTATGACTGAATGAATGTGATTATGACCAATTTTGATAATAATATCAAAAACATCGCTGCCAGAAGCATGTATTCTGGATAAAGTCAAATATTGAATATGATACTTCACAAACACTCTCAAAAAAGCACAGTGTAGTCCACTTTGTAACTGGATATATAATCAGATGTTATCCAGTTGCTGCTGAAAAGTCTAATTACGTGGAACTGCTCTATCGGAAGAATAAAGAAAATTACAAGGCAATAACTGAGCTTTAAAAAAAAGCAAAAGGCTGCTCTGGCCCTATGAGAAAAATGACTAACATCACAAAGGAAGACCTGCTGGCTTTGTGAACTTCCTGTGGGGAAGTATTGAAACCAAATCAGGTTAGGCCACATCTGCTCTGTCCATACGGCATGGATCACTTTCAGAGCAGTTCAAAGGCCAGCCTTTTAGACCTACTCACAGAGGAAGGAGAGGGGCAGCTGGGAACACATGCAGCGGACTGACACATTGCAAACACACATTCTGGTTTACCAGCATACTTTTGGCTAACTTTTATAGACAATTTAGAAAAAAACAACCCCGACCTGGTGGCTTTTTTTTTGTTTGTTACATGCCGATAATTATTAGCTGCTGTTATGTCTCATCAAGCAGCGAGATCCAGCGGATGGGCAATGCAACCACACCCTAACCCCTGATGAGTATTTTACTCCAACAGAAGTGGGCCCCCTATTCATGACACAGCTATGGAACTAACATTATCACCAGACAGGGTGGGGGACCATAAAATGGCTGCACCACAATTTATAGTTAACTAGCTCCACTAGTTTGTGTGTTATAGGAGAGAGGGGGGAAAAAACACTAGGCTTGGCAAGACCTAGAGGAATTTCCAATATCTTTTTTTTTTTCTGTTGATAGACCCAAGTACTGGAGTGAGTAGAAAACATGAAGGGATGCTTTTAAATCGTTGCTCAATCAATTTAGAGTTTCATAAAGCTGGAGGACTTGAAAGAGCCTAAATAAACAACGGCCAGAATCAGTGGATCATGCCTCGATATCTGATCTGATGTCTAAAGCAGGGGTCAAACTGCAAAAACACAGGTCTACCTGCAGGTCACATCAGGTAACTTGGTGGGATCATTGAGCCTTATGTCTGGTAAATTACCACATCTTTCATACACCTCAGTTGGTACGAGGCTTTCTGATGGAATAATGAAAGTCTCAATCAGGGTTATTTTCTAAGATTTAAGGGAGATCACTTTCCAAGCCACAGACCTGCTTTCACACATTGCCAAGAACACTGATCTTCATGTGTAAAATCTGTGGAGGGCCCCTTTAAAATAAAGATAAATAGACGTAGAGAAAGAGGGAGCGCTTGTCTTTCAGGGTGTGTTTGATTAATTGTCCATAGGCTGCAGCATGGTAAGCCAAACAGCTGCCCAGAATGACTGATGTGACTACAGAGGACAAGCATGTCCAGCTTCATATTTTCATGTTCCTCCTCCCACGGCCTTTTCTGCCTCTGACAGCTGAGAGTCCTTTTGGACTAAAGCCTCGAAAACAACCATCAAGTTGTTATTGAAGAAGCTGGAGCCCGGGGTGGTAGCTCAGGCTCCAAAGGAAAAAAAAGTCAGCTTTCCTGCCCCCTTTTACCCCTGTGGGAAACTGCGAGGCCGCCCCTGGATTAAGTCCCCGCCTTTAAACTCAAATAAGAAGGAAACTTCAAAGGCCGTCGGCCGCCGGGGCTCCGCCCTCGCGCTCCCGGACGGCTTCACAAAGGATTTGCCGACGTTCGGGAATTCCGCCTCCAGTTCCTTTTATAGCGCCACTCGTGCGCTGGCTGCGCTCCAGGATCCCGCCCCTCCCGGTTACTTTGACAACACAAAGGACTTCACGGAACTCGCTGGCGCCGCCCACCTTTCCAAATAAGGGCAGTCTCTCCATGTACGGCAAACAATCGGTGCGAGATTGCCCTTTTCTCTTCCTTATCCCGTTTATATGATCGGAGAGGAACTGCGCTTCAGGTTGGAAGCGGTGCGATCATGGCCGAGCGAGTCCAGCAGCCCCCAGCCAAGCGGCTCTGCTGCCGGCCCGGCTACAACCCGGCATGCAGGCAGGGGCAGCGGGCTGGAGGAGTCCTGTGTGGCGGCGCGGGGTCCGCTCCGGGAGGGTCGGGAAATGGAAAAACGCACAACCCCGAGTCGTTGCTCGACATCGCGGCGCGCAGAGTCGCGGAGAAGTGGCCGTTCCAGAGGGTGGAGGAGCGGTTCGAGAGGATCCCGGAGCCCGTCCAGCGGAGGATCGTATACTGGTCATTCCCGAGAAGCGAGAAGGAGATCTGTATGTATTCCTCTTTCAACGCCGGAGGAGAGGAAAGTGGAACTAGCGGGGACAATAATGACGAGACCCAGCTGCCTTTCCTACGGGGTGTCACTCTGCTGGAGGGTGGCTGGGTGGACAACGTATTGCAAGTCGGTGAGTGGACCATAACGTTACAATAACGCAGGAAAACAGAGCGTGATAAACGAAAAAAAACAAAAAAAACCCTCTAAACTCGCTCTGTTTGTCTTTTCCACGGAGCCACGCCAGACTTTTTAAAGGGCTTGTGTTCGCCTTCCATTGCCTCGTCTATTATAAACAATGCAGGGTATTTCCACACCAGTCTACCCTATAGCTGTGTGAGAATAGCCTATTTTCAGATAAGCCCGTAATAGTAGCCCACTTCTTCTTGTTTTTACCCACTGAGCTGCGCGCATTGAATGGCCCAGAGCCATCCCAATTGGAAGCTTAGCACTTTGTTCCTATTTTTGTGTCTTTCCAGCTCTCCATGCCCCCACCAATGGGTACGCAGACAAAAGCCCCCTATATCTTTTCACCGCTGGCTAAATAGACGATATTTAGAAAGGGTGGGAGGGACGGTGATTTAAAGCCACAGTGCTTCTATTTTGTTTGCCAAACACCTTTGTGAGACAGACTGAAGCTTTTTCTGCTTGCCTTCCCCCAATATTCACTTAAAGCCCCAGCTATATGCACCCTGTAAGAGCAAAGATGCACATTATTTTTTTTTTTTACCCCCTCTTCCCTTCCCCTCAGCTGCATTATTTGTGGGTGAAGCTTGGAGTAAACAGAGGTGCTGTAGGCTCAGCAACCCCCTGCCTGCCTGCCTGCCTGCCTGCCTGCCTGCCTGGCTGGCTGCCTTTGCCAGAGCCACAATATTTCACTGCATTCGTCAGTGCAATAGACTCAGCTGTCAATCCGACTCCCCACCCTTGGAAACGGTTCAGGATTCTAATCCCATTAGCCTCCCCAGTTCATCTGAATCTTAATGCATTCTGCAAACAAGATTTTATGCATGATCTTCTTCCTCCTCCCCTCCCTCCCTCACCCTCTCTATCTCTCTCCCTTGTTCCCTCTTCCTCTCTCACTTCTTGGCTTACTATCCCTCCAAAGAATCTGTGTGGAGATGGCTTCAGCTCTTGTGGGCTCAGAGAATGTGCAGTGCACAATAGTAGCCATGGAGCAGGCAGACAGGCAGGCAGCTCTCTCCCTCCCTCTCTGGCCCTGTTTACCAGATTCCCCAGCATTAGGCTCATTTATGTGCTCACTCTTTTGGGGCTTTAGGAAGCTAAACACTCAGCACGGGGTAAAATATAAAAGTGCGGGGCGTCACTGAGGAGATATGTGTGTGTGCTTTGGAAAATACTCTGAGATAGTGACAAACGGGTTAACAAGGTCATTTTTTTGTGGCCATGTGTGTGTTTCTCTGTGTGTGTGTGTGAGATAGAAAGAGTATGTGTGTCAGTGTGTGCAGGGGTTTGATAAACACAGAGGGGGGATTGTACATGCGTCTGTGTGTGTGTCCTCGTCTGCATGGGCTGTCAGTCTCATCCTGCATGCTCACAGAGAGTGGAGAATGACAGGCGAGTACACAGCAGGAGGAGGGCATGTTATGCTGATTGCAATTTTCGCCCCAGAATTTTTCTCTTTTTTTTTTTTCTTAGCTGGGGAAGATAAAGCCAAGGAAGAGAAAATGATAAATAAAAGATGCAATCTACTCCAGGGGACAGGCAGCCACTGGAGGATGAGGGCTTAAAAGCAGGGCAGCATGG